AGGGAAACCTATATTGATACTGCGTTCCTTTCTTTTTTGCAAATATAACCGACACTTTTACGCCAAAACTACCATAGTACAATATGACACATTAGAAAAGAAAAGTACATCGGTGACTGGTATTTACGCAAAACGTTTATCAGTAAAAGATATAAAGATGGTGACCTATTTCTTGTCAATCGAGATGAAATCAAGAACTTGAACAATAAGAAAAGCACAGTGATAAACAAGTATTCAGTCCGTACCTACCTGCACGTTGTAAATTCAAAATATCGTCCATGTAATCGAACATTTCGACCGACATTTGGAAACTGAAGAAGAGAAGAGAGAAAAGTATAAAACATAGGACATAATCTATGACATGTATACAATTTGTAGAATTGAAAACTTACTAAACATTGATATCGTTTTCCCCGATAGATTTAAGTTCCTCCGGTGTTACTTGAAGATTTCCGGGTATGCGTGGGTTTCGCTTGTGAAAATCTAACTTGGTGATCAGTAATCTTATGTACAATTGAATCAATGGCCCATATCCTTCTCGCAAGTGTTGCCATAATTTTCCGAGATCTTCCAATCTTCCACGATACCGTTGGGAATCCGGTATAACTTTCTCATGACCCTCTCGCAGTATCTTGTGCAAAACATGACAAAACTTCCATGCGACTATCTGATTCTCTTGCAATGGCTGCCGTAACATGTACATCCAAAAAATCATTCCACCCTTCTCTTGGTGTGTACCTATAATCGCACCTATATTTATGTAAGGTATATATATAGTACATACGCATATTCAAAAATAATTTTATTAATCATAATTTCTAATGCTCTTAATGATCTTTCTTTCCTTTTAAAGAATTCTTTGTTAAGAAGGATACTTCGCACATGTTTCTCTTTCACAGGCGTTTCTGTAGGATTTACAGCCTTCCCAATAGAGATGCTCTAAAAGACAGAAACAATTTTTTGTAATCTTTTACACCAGATTATTACGTGATTTTTTAAAAGCATCGGTTTTCAAAAAGTATGAAAGAAGAAGTTTAGAAGGACAAAAGGAAATCTCTATAAAATTCATTTACCAGCTGATGGAGTTGTTTATCGGTGATTGGGACAACACTCGTCATGATAAAAGTGTACAACGGTGAAATTAAAGCACGTGTAAATAGGAATCCTAGTGGTCAGTCCGTATGAAAAGTCATCATTTCATCAATTCGACAGTCGTGTCGAAATGTGTTAAACAAACACGCTCGACAATATTACGTTGCTCCACATCGCCTGAAAAATTACATATCACTGGCGAAACACTTCACCATGGGTAAGAATTAAACGCAGGACTAAACAATTTATTGCGCAAATGATTATCACTTATAAAATATTTAAAAAAAAAAGAAAAAGATAGATAATTAAGAAAGTTGAGGGCGCACAATTTTATATCGTTCAAAAGAATCTGAAAACTATTTATTCGATTAATTTTATTATTTACTAATGTGTCCAGCAATTCAGAAATATCGGTAATAAAACATATCGTTAGTAGAAACTGAAATATACTGTGTATCAATTCGTTATCAGATATGTGATTGAAGCTAACTCCAATACTGATAAAAAGCTAAAATATTTCCGAAGAAATATACTCTATATCTGAAAGCTTCGAACAATTTCATTTTTTTCTTTTTTTTAACGTATTATACAGTTCAAATAAATTAAAAAAAAATATATATTATTACATTAAATAAATAGCCAATTTCTTCATTTCCAAAGAATAACAAATTTATATCTTCTGAACTGTTTATTATACAAACTGGTATAACTTAGAGTAACATTACTATAGAAATAAAAATACGAATTTATGATACTATATTATACTACACAATGTGCTAGCGAATTAAAAAATTTTAAGTTTCTTTAATTTAAGTTAATTTAAAAATTCATTAATCTCCACCATTTTTGCTTCGAAAAATGTTCATTGCAAATAGAATACGTATTGCAAGTGTTCAATCTCGGAAGTCTAAATGATGGGTCTTTTATGTTCATTAACCTTCCGAGTGGTGTCACCGCACCAGCACGGTTAACGATGCCTTGTGCCAGAAAGAGTGCCGCTATACGGTTACGTTCATTCAGAAAGTATTTCACTGGATGAACTTGTGCATTTAGATAAACCAGCAACATGTAGTTCGTTACATCGTATGTCAAAGACCCTGTGTATCACAACTAGAAAGAAAACAAAGATAATGACTGAAATAAACGCAACATTAACGGCACTCGATTCTGATATAAAATTAAAATCAATAAATAACATAAACATAAACAATGTTGGCATATTATTTAGAATTATACTTTGATAGAAAAAAATATGCGTACATTTCTAAGTATAGCAAAATAAATGGTAATTGAATTACAAGTTATCTTCGTTAGTATCGTAATTATGTATATCGATATGCGTTAATTAATAAAACTTGGTTGACGCATAAGTTACAAACACGTCTGAATTCGTCCAATTTAAATCTACGGTCTTCACCGTAGAAGCACCATGTTTCTAACTTTAATTTTTTAGAAAACTACGATCATGATCGTCAGAAATAAAAATTATGCGTTTACTTTTTTAAGGAAACTTTTTATGGATAATAGTAACTTAGTTAATGTTCATGGCAAGAAATAAAAATGATCAATAATTTTTACAATTATTATATTAAAAAATCAAATATAAGCAATATGTAATTAAATATTAGCCATATTGTATTTGAATATACTGCGGTTAATTTTATATCCGTTTCAATTTGTTTATAAAAATAACCTCTGAACATAGATGTTATACGATATAAACATTTATAAATATTATTAAAATATCGTTAAATTTTCGAATATGTGTAATGGAATAAAATAACATTACTATAAAAATTATTTTAATCTTATTCGTCAACAAAATAAGTGGTATATAGAATCAAATATGCACGTGTGTGTATGTGTGTGTATATACATATATGAAAAAAGATCAAAGAGGCGGTTTCCTGTTCATTGATGTCAAATTTTTCTTAGAATTATGTATACAATATCACATTACAAATTGTTACAAATAATGGACATAAATGTTTTTTTATAAATAACTTTCCAAAATTTCAAAAATCATATACCAAAATAGTACTATTAACAATTTAACACTTCTAACATGTAAAATGCCATAATAAACACATTTCCTAACCTATAAAAGGCATTGAAACGATATATGAGTCGGAACGAGGTCAAGGACCGCATTTTCATCGTATACGTCTAGTTTTAATAGTTTGAAACATTTGTACACTTTAAAATTCAAAATACACTTTTATGAATACGTTTTCCTAATTGACAAGGAGATAACCTTACGTTCATTTAAAAGGCATCGATACATTTAAATACTTACATTACAAATGTAACATGCAGTTACATACTATAACTTGTATTACGTACCTAAAACTATTCGAACTGTCTATGCCATTAAATCCAGATCTCTGCTTTGTTAAAAAACATGTAGTTGTATTAAACTCATTACTCCGTCAACACACGAATTGTTTCAAAAGATTACGTAGCATAGATCCGGTTATCATAAACGGAAACTTCATAAATGCGCACTAACACTCCTTTTTAAATATTAACAAACCTAGTTTTGAAAAGTGCGGCAAATGATGGATCAATTATTTTAATTGATTTCTTTTAATTAAAGCCCGTATTAAAAATGTATCGATACGTAATAGTACGGATACAGCAATTCGATATCAAATACGATGGATAAATGTTAAAGATAACAATAAGAGACTTAAACAACGACAAACACTGTTATTAATAAGCAAATTGAAATTCGTACCAAATACGAAATAAATACGTGCTTCCCGTCCGCGCGTACGATAGAATACAGCGAATCACTTGAAATATAGCAATAGAAGTAGCGTGCATTCAGTATCAAACCGCTATTTCGAGCGCTCTTCCAATGGCGTAGCTGACTTGTGAAACCTGCTGGCGCGTAAACTTGTTTTTAAAGTAACATTTACTTTTACATTTTGCGATTATACTTAAATGATTCGTTGAATTCTAGTGTTTTTATTATCTCATCTTTTTTCTTTGCTCCATAGTATTATTATCACCTTATTATTTGTATATCATTTATCTTCTTCCGGTATAAGACTTCTAATCTTCGTCGCCGTTTTAAATTCTGTCAAAATAACTGCACATTCTGGCTAAACTTATTTCAAATGATTTAAAAATCTTTACAAAAATATAATACAATTTTATTTTTAATAATTTATAAATAAATATTAAGAATTTTAGTATTATTGATTAATTATGTCAAATTGATTTTACATTTATTTCTATTATTAAATGTAGTTTAAAAAAAATTCTTAAATTTATTATACCTATTTTAAAACTATAAATATTTTTGTTAGTCATTTTAATGAATAAAAATTGATGGAAAACAATTGAAATTATGTGTAATCACTATGTATGAAGTCAGTTTATATCTTATTCTTAAAATAATTATAAATTTAATGGTTATTATTTAACTGAAAGTATAAATTAAATTGTTGCATATGTATCTCTAATAAAACAAAATATATATATGTCTTAATCAAAAAAATATATTGTCTATTATAAATAGATAATGATTAATGCATTTGCAGTAGCTTACAGTGGCAATTAATAAATAATAATTGTTCATTCAAATTAATTTACATAGTTTAATTCTAAAGATATTGTAACACAACAAATACAATATTAAACAGGTGTAAAAATTGAATGAATATTACAATATTGAGTTTCAATTTTTGCATCTATTTGTCATTAAATTACACACATTTATATATATTATACCATAAAACATAATGTATCAGAAGACTCTTGTTGCAAATTGCAGTAGGTATAAAAACAATTTGTAATAAATAAGTAAATTCTTTTTTCATTATAAGATATTATTTGCACTAACAGGATATATTTAAATTTTCTGTGTTTAATATAATTAATAATCTTTTTAATTTATAATCAAAACAAACGTATATATGTATTATGTTTATTTTTACATTAAGATGGACAAAATACAGGTAGCATTAGTACTTCTATATCTTTTTAATTGGTATTATTACTTATGGCTATAAATAGAGAATTTATCCTTAGTGAATATTTAAATTTACTGATCATATTTACTTAAATATAAAAATAATAAAAATGTCGTAATTTATGTATTGTAATTAGATATACTTCTAAGGTATACCAAAAATAACAATACCAATCATAATTAATGAAGTAATAAGATTTTTGGTTAGATAGGCCTCACAATGAAATTGATTTATATGTTTTTATATATTCGTCATTTCATACATTGATACATACATATACATGGTGTCGCCTTAGGTAGTCAAGTGTAAATCATATCTTTGACAAATTACTTTGATTCATATATATCAATTATGATTCATTGTTAAATTAAATTAAATTTTAAAGATCAGTGCACAATACATACAATATACAATGTGAACAAATACAAAACATTAAATACAAGTACCCATCCTCTCCCGCTTGATCAATATCCAATGTGTAATCAATTTTTTCCTCAAATTTTTGACATATGACAATTAAATAATTTCAAATGTAAATAAATAAAAATCTAATAATATTGTATTAATAAAATATTTTTTTCTTCCTAGCACATTAAAAATAAAACCATCTGTATATATTAAAAGCTTTAATTATTTATGAGTATAATTAAAAACTAATTATTATGTTACTATGAAAGAATCAAGTATACAAAGCATTTATTAAACAATATTTAAAACTAATAAATTTACAGCAGCCAGAATCTATAAATTAAAATTTTATTAAGTTTCATGATTTAAGCAGTATATAACATTTTTCTTTATAATATTACTATTTAATATGTATGTATATGTTGTTTTTAAATAATAAATACACTAATAATCACTTGTTACCTCATAATGCGACACGCGCAAAAGAATATACAAAGTAATTGGTTGAGAATAAAATGAGGAACAGGAGTAGAAAGATCAATTTAAATTGGAGAGGGATGAAGCGGCGGACAGGCAACCCTCAGCCCCTAGCAGCACCCACCACTTTGCGTATTTCCTTGACCACCAGTACCTCCTAATCCACTAGGGCTTGTTGGTGAATGTTGAGGTCCAATCTTAATACCATTTGCCTAGATATATTTGAAAATTATTTTGTTAATGATATTACGGATAGAATATTGTAGTTGTAATTATATAGTAACCTTATTACCTCATTGTTTATATCAAATACACCTTCCTGTATTTTTTCATAAATTACTTTTGCTGTGTTAATAAATGCATCTTCTACATTAATTGCTGTTTTTGCACTGGTTTCCATAAAAACAAGACCATGTTCTCTTGCAAAAGCTTCTCCTTCTTCTCTCTTCACTTCCCTTCTATTATCCAAATCACTTTTGTTACCAATTAACATGATCACCATATTAGAATTTGAATGTTGTCTTGCATCTTCTAACCATATTGTTAAATGATTAAATGTTTCTCTACGTGTAATATCATATACTAATAAAGCTCCTGCTGCTCCACGGTAATATGATCGTGTAATGGAACGAAATGCTTCTTGACCTGCCTATAATATCAATTTAAATATATTACCAATATATGTATCCTACTGTATTACAATATAAAATAAATTAAGTACATAACAATATATAAATGTACATAAAAAATAAATAATTACAGTATCCCAAATCTGAAGCTTGATCGGTTTTCCATCGATTGTAATCATACGAGAACCAAACTCAACACCTATTGTTAAATCATGGACAGGCTGGAATCTCTTATCCGTAAATTGCAGAAGCAGGCAAGATTTTCCAACTCCTATTTAAACAACATATTCATGTAGTAAATTAAATATACTAATAGAAATTTATATAATTTATTAAATATATATGTTTTGTGTGTGTGTGTGGGTGTGTGTGTTGCACATTATACACATATACATGTGTGAATTGTTTGAAAACAAACACACAAGTTATGAATAATACTAAAATATATTTATTTATTTACATTTAAACTTTTCCTTTCTTTCCATATTGATAACGAAAAAATTTAAGAATACATTTTATTATGTAATAAACAATATCGAAATAAACAAATCAAGATCAATGCTGTAAAAATAATATTTATAACAAGTTCACAACTATTACATCTATTGACTCAATCCTTAATGATACTGCGTTTGGATTGTAAGAAACTTAATATAAAGTCTGGTCTTAACATAAATAAATGAATACGACATCGTTTAAGTCGACAAAATTATTATACAAAAAAAGATGTATACGGATAATACATCAAAAGTAATACTAATTTATAATATTAAATGTTACTGTAGAACACATACATCACGATTCTTAAAAATGTTCTAAGTTGTGCGAATCAAAAATATTGTCGTCCAAAGGAACGAAAACAATGGGTCCTGTCACGGTCGAAGTAGTATAGAATGTAAAAATCATTTAGCATTTATTTCTATAAAAGCATCAGATAATTACCTGTATCTCCAATGATAATGTACTTGAAAAGGTATGCGTACGACATTTTTCAAAATTATGTAGGAAATAAAGATATCTATACGAAATGCGGATATATTAGAAAACAGAACTTCACTTTTTTGACTGTCTTATCTCTTCTGCTTCAGTATGACGTCACTGAATCTCTTCGGCAATTCTCGGGATTTTTCGTATTATTCGTAATAAGTTCGGGTTTCCGATATCGCGCTGCCGTCGCTTCAGTCATCGACGTATCTTATAAGCGTTGGCTGTGTTCCAAAACCATGGCATTTTCTGACTTAATAACATAGTTACGTTAAAATATATATGTATTATATGATTATGGTATTGTAAAGAACAATTGTTAATTTAATATAAATTATATTTATGTTATATTATTATACCTATATCTTTGTATATTACAATTGCACCGTGTTTCATAACTTAGTATATTTAGCTATATTACTAGCATATACTATTAAACTTTATAACTAATAAAGTTTCTTCTTTCTTAATATTTCTCTTATGTATATACAAAATAACAATGTACTTGAACAAATCGGGAATAGGTTTGAAAAGTTAATATAACAAATGTATAAAAGAATAATTAATATTGCGAATAATAAGCACTTAAACATTTATTTAATATTAATACGTGTACAATTGTTTTAGAATATAGTCTAATTCTTTTAATAAATATCAGTATTTACATGCAAATAAAATAAAAAGGGAAATATATAACAAAGAACCTAGACTTCGGATGATGTTATCGGTCAACAAAGCCGTTGACCAATGAAATCTTTATCCAAGAAATTGATTGTCCAATGAGGATACAGAAATGACTCTAGTGGTAAGTAAAAGTAGTAAACAGTACGGTGCGAATCGAGCTATCGTCGACGTCGAAGCTGTCAAACATGGCGAGAGTGTCGATCTTGAGTGCTGGTCAAAAATGTGAATAGAAGGTTCGCGTTGTGGTGAGATTTGTGAATCTCGGGTATTCTCGTCGTCGGCAGAGGCCGACGAGAGATGCGATCGGGAGTTAGACTGTCAGGCCGAAAGTGAATGTGCCGAGTGAACGGCCCCGGCAGTTTTGCGGCCGGGATTAATCTAAGGGCATGCCAATTCGGGAACTATGGGTGCTCAACAGACTAAGGAGAGAATTGTTCCTGTCGGCTCTGCTGCGCGACAGACGCGCAAACAGCCAAGGAACCTTAAGGAGTCCCGTCTTGTTGGCTCTAATATATTTACAGAGCACAGCGGTAATTCCTTCTCTTATTTTCTTACTCTCTTGCTTTCTATCTTCTATTTCTTTCCTACTTCCGTCCCTTTTTTCACTTCTCCCTCACACTTTCTTCTTCTCACTCCTTTAGTTTCTCTCTTGCGTTCATGCACTGTCCTTGCTTTATAGCAGATTTCGAATGTAAAAGATTATGGAAAAATGAAATAAAATTACAAATAATGACATGCAAAAAACGGCAAGTTAAAAGTTGTGATTTGGTTATATAATTAATACATATACATATATAGATGTATGTTTATGAATTTTTGTACCTAATTAATGATTGATTATCAATTTATTGTTACAATATTACATTATTTAATATCCCAAATTAGTTCTCAGTTGTTATAACTTGTTACCAGGAATTATCTATATTAAACATCTTGTTTTTATTATTCCAAATAATATTATTAACTTTTAATTATTTAAGTTATTTTAAATAATTTTACAATTCAAATCATAATTGTTAATTTAACATGTTTAATTATTTTGTATATATATATAAATATGTGTTACAAGATTATAATAAAAAAATTAATACCTAAAATAGGAAATGCTTTTTTATATGTTAATATTAATATTCATTAATAGAAATTACACAATATATTTAATTATTGAAAAAGAGTAAATTAGAATTCTTTTGAAAAGATAGAATGCAGAAAATTAAAATATTAATATTAAATTTTATTAATTAAGTTTCTTACATTAATTTGTAGTCATATGCATACAACAGTATTATGATGTTGTGCAGAAGCTCTTTTACAAAGCAGACCACTACCTCACATTCCGGCATTACCAGATGGTGATCCTCCAAATGGGTCCAGCATTCAACCAATTTCACAACAAGTGAATATCCAACAACATACTGGAGTTTCTTCTGCTGGACTTTTGGAGGCTGCAAACAGGTGGAAGTTTATTTGTTATAATTTTATTGTCTCGTTAACTTTTTTTTTTTACAGAATATATGTGTAAATATTTAATAGTTAGATTTTGTATGTAAATAAATAATACTATAAATAAATAAAATTATATGTATAAAAAAGTTATGTATACTTAAATCATAATATTAAAATATGTTATAGATGGACAAGCAAGGAAAACCTATTGGCACAAGAAGAGGATGATCCCCAACTATTTGTTGCTCTATATGATTTTCAAGCAGGTGGAGAAAATCAGCTTAGTCTTAAAAAAGGTAATTATTGTATATAAATAAATAAATATGAACATGTGCAATCATATATCTACTGAAAAAAATGTATTGTATATTATAAATTACTTGAATTTAGGAGAACAAGTTCGTATTCTAAGTTATAATAAGAGTGGAGAGTGGTGTGAAGCTCATTCAAGTACTGGTCAAGTAGGATGGGTTCCTTCAAATTATGTCACCCCAGTAAATTCTTTGGAAAAACATTCTTGGTATCATGGAAGAATATCTAGGAATGCTGCAGAATATCTTCTAAGTTCTGGTATAAATGGTAGCTTTTTGGTTCGTGAATCAGAAAGCAGCCCAGGTCAACGCAGTATTTCTCTTCGATACGAGGGTAGAGTATACCACTATAGGATTAATGAAGATAGTGAGGGAAAGGTATATAATCAAAGAATTCTGCTGGCACAGGTATAATATCCTATGAGAAGTAGACATTCTATTATGAAATATTAATATTTTAGATGTATGTTACAACTGAAAGCAAATTTAATACTCTGGCAGAATTAGTACATCACCATTCAATGCTAGCTGATGGTTTAATCACACAATTACTTTATCCTGCACCAAAGCACAATAAACCTACTGTTTTCCCACTTAGTCCAGGTATGTAAAAAATTATAAAAACTTGAACAATTGTATATTTTATAAAAATACGTAAAAAATTCAAATTAACAGCTTAAAATATTGATTGCAATTATTGAAATTTATTGAAATTATCTTTTTTAGAACCTGACGAATGGGAAATTAATAGAACAGATATAGTTATGAGACATAAATTAGGTGGTGGGCAATATGGAGATGTCTATGAAGCTGTATGGAAGAGGTACAATATGACTGTGGCTGTAAAAACATTAAAGGTCAGTACTTGTATTGTACATGTATTGTATTTGTTATTTTTATTATTTATATCATTTTCTATTTTATTTATTAATATTTGTTTGTATTTTTATTTTATAGGAGGATACAATGGCTCTAAAAGATTTTCTGGAAGAAGCTGCAATTATGAAGGAGATGAAGCACAGAAATTTAGTTCAGTTACTGGGTGTATGTACTCGTGAACCGCCATTCTACATCATTACAGAATTCATGAGCAAGGGAAATCTGTTAGACTATTTGCGGAACGAGAGCAAACACCAAATCAATGCCGTTGTTTTAATGCATATGGCTACACAAATCGCTAGTGGAATGAGTTATTTGGAAAGCAGAAATTTCATTCACAGGTATTTTTTAATATTTTAGAATAAATGTATCTTTTCATATGATTTATATATTTTGTATATATTTTTCAAGTAAAAGATGCGTTAACCGTATTTTTATATGAGATGTAAATTATTTAACTTTATTATAGTTTGTTTAAGAATTATATTTTCATTTTTATGCTAATCTTATATGATATAATTTCAAAATAAATTTATCATATGCGATATTTTTATTACAAAATATTGACACTCTCATTTTTAAATTTTGATCAAATTAAAAGTTTTACTGGGAGTTTATTAAATACTTTTTCCCCCAAAAAAGCACTAAAAGAAATTAACAATTGAAATACATACAATGTAATGCTCGCTTTTTATCTCATAATGCATATCCTGAAGCAATTAGTTTTTTCTACCTCTGATCAGTAAAGAATTAGCATTAAGATGGTATGTGTTATGCCAAATAGTAATCGTTACACTTAAAGTATTTTTCTTGTAAGTAGCTGTTTTTAGGGAGCGATTTGTAGCGACTCAAGGGTCACTGAAGAAAAGTATTAGCATTGATAATTATGATACGCATATTCAATATGAAAAAATACATTCAATTCATTTAGAGAAATGTTTTAAATTTCATCGCCCTGTCCTCTTAAGAAACAAGCTTGCGTTAACATCACGACTTTCGATACAGAGATCTAGCGGCTCGAAACTGCCTAGTGGGAGAAAATCATCTGGTGAAGGTTGCAGACTTTGGCTTGGCCCGGTTAATGAGAGATGATACGTACACGGCGCATGCTGGTGCGAAATTCCCTATAAAATGGACTGCTCCAGAGGGATTAGCATATAATAAATTTTCTACGAAGGTAAAACAACAAACTTTCTTAGAGATAATATCATGAAGGTTTTATTTGTATAATTATTTATATTATATTTGAACTTTATATTTGTAGTCTGACGTGTGGGCGTTTGGAATCTTACTTTGGGAAATAGCAACCTATGGAATGTCTCCTTATCCTGGCGTTGATTTGACGGATGTTTATCATATGTTAGAAAAAGGTTACAGAATGGAATGTCCTCCTGGATGTCCACCGAAAGTATATGAATTGATGCGTCAATGTTGGCAGTGGTCTGCTGCTGATAGACCTACTTTTAAAGAGATTCATCACTCTCTTGAAAATATGTTTCAAGAATCTAGTATTACTGAAGGTAAAATATGCTATCAACTTTTATGCAAATATTTAATATAATGGTATTCTTTTTAATATAAATATAAAATTTTATTATAAAACCTGTACAAACGTCTAAAAAAATGATCGTTGCAGAAGTCGAAAAGCAATTGCAAGGAGGGGGAGAAATTCCTTTACTTTCATACAAAAAATCTCAAACTGGTAGTACTGGAAATATTCATGGACTTGTTCTAGTCTCTGAACCATTACCTTCATCAGGTATATATATAAAGAATTCGTAAAATATCATCTTGTAATAATATAATTATGTTGAGAGTTATACATATTGTATAAATTTGTCAGTTATAATATTTTATGGTATTACGCGTAATAAATGAATTTATTTGTTAAATTAGATTAATTCATCTTAGATTATATTATTTATTTAGAATAAGTTAATCTTTTTGCTTTAATGTAGTTATGGTTTTATACTTGTTTGTTGTAGATACTACTAGTTCAGTAACGAAACTGAGTACATTCACAGGTGGTATGTCAAGCAAAAATAATAGTAGTATCGTACAAATGAGACGTTCTACGAATAAAAAAGGAAAACAAGCTCCAGCTCCTCCAAAAAGAACAAGGTATGACATTTTTTTGTTTTCGGTGTGACGAAACCTCGATTATTACATGTCTGTTATAATTTTTCTAGATCTGGTTACAATAATAAATAAATAATTCGATATTGTATATACACATATGGAATATTATTTATCTACCATATTACTCTTATAAATCTGCTTTTATTAAATTTCTTTCACATAATCGAGATTTCGAACACCGACGAATAGTGATTATATGGTAATACGATAACATAACGATTGGGTAACAGCTTGCTGTCGTCGTGCAGTTCGTTCCGCGACTCTGCCTATCAAGAGCAAGATATTCAAAATACTGAAACGAACACCATGACTCTCGACGATGCCACGGATCTAAATGGTATTGATAAGATTCTCGAAGGTATTTTCATTCTACTTTAATCGAGCGTACTGATACGTGCACGTACTGCTTCAGTTTCCTACCGTAAGCTCTATATCCAATTTTTGTATTCAATTCTTCTTACATTTATATTCTCTTTTAAATACTTAATTAAAAGATTAAGATTGTATAATGAACTTAAAAGGTAATGAAACGAATTTATATTGACATTTTTATTTTTTATGTTTTTATATTTTTATTAATTTAATCAAATAAATAAATACATTCGGGATTAATGAAGTTTTAATATGAACAAAATTTAATGTATATAAAGGAACATTTTTATTTTTAATTTTCAAAACATACTATTTGTATTTCATTATTTGAGCTTACGGAACTTGTTCGCTCTCAGCGAAGGGACTCTAAGCAGAAAGAGAATATGTACCGGTACGGTTTGTTGTTAAATGGGAACTCAGGTATTGCGCGAGATCTCGCGACGATGGCTCAAGGAACGATTGCTGCAGGAGGCTGTGAAATCGAGGAGGATGGAGAGGGTTCTCAGGGTACGGCGGAACCAAATTTCATTTCTCAACCTTCAACATCTCCGGAACCTATATCTGTCTTGACCTGTTCTCAAAAACAAATTAAACCAAGACCTTATCCATCAAAAGAACCATTACCACAAAAGGTAATTCTTTTGGAGAATTAAATTGAATCTTTCAGAAAGTTTTTAATTTGATGTAAATTTAAATTTTATTTTATTTTTAGCTGGTACAAGTAGGTGCATTAGAAGTACAGAACGTTAAAAGAGCTATTAATCGTTATGGTACATTGCCAAAAGGTGCTAGGATTGGCGCATATTTAGAATCTTTGCGTCAGAGTGGTATGCCATCGAATCAAGAATGTACAACAGTGGCTTCTTCCATGACACCTGGCACAGTAGAACAACACGAAGCTTCTATGGACAATTCTCAACACAGATCTCTTTCTCCTCGTCAAAGTAATTTACGAAGTCAGCCTCAAATGACTCGCAGTAATTCTTCAAGCGGTGTTGTCAATACTTATCAACCTCCAAATTCTCCTCGTGGTCGAGTAGTAGCTGTAAGGAAGAGTAATCAGTCTGATGGTGTTGGTTTAAGAACTTTTCGGGTATCGAGTAATTCTAACTTTCGTACTGCGAGCCCATCGAGATCCGTTCAACCATCGTTAGCTGATTTAGAGTTTCCTCCACCACCCGCAGATTTACCTCCTCCACCAGATGAAATTTTTTCCGGACAAGAACAAGCTGAACTTCCACCTCCTATTTCTTGTAGCGAAATTTCTCAAATGAGAAATTCTCCATTATCCATAAGAAAAGCAAAGAGTACAGATTGGCGTGCAAAGGAAGATGAAAATGAGCAACAAGAAGATAGAAACGATGTTAGTAACGCAGAACCTTCTGTAAAAGAAGCCTGTTCGAGATTTGGAGTTAACTTGAGACGCAGAGAAACTCAAGATAACTCATGTAGAAATACTGATAATAAAAGAGCGGGTTTTAAGTCCAGGATAGAAACAATCGAGCCTGCTGCACCACCAGAAGAAGCACCACCACCACCTCCACCACCACCACCACCAGTTGCTACAAACTCACCTCCTGATAGTTTTGAACGCAAACCTGGAATGAAAGAGATGTTGGAATTGAAACTCATAAATGAAATTAAACAGAGTGCAGAAACAAAGCATGGTACAACTTCCAAGAAAACTGGAGTAACAAGTAGTACTCCATCTGCTCTTCTGGATCCAGCTTCACAGTTACTTTCAGAACTCTGTGCTAGCTTTAACATGGATTCTGGACAGAGGTATATTCTTATTATGTTCTTATTATGTTTGTATATTTTATAGTAGTACATCTTTTATGTGTTTACTAACTATTTTTTAAAACATGTATGTGTATCTCATAATTTTTCCTACCGTGTTAGACATGCTCAAAACGAGTACGCCGTGTCAACTTTAAAAACCAATGAAGGAACTCAAGATCAACAACTGCAGCATCAAATTCATAATGCTCATAAAGATTCATCCATATCTTCTCCCGTAACTGAGTCTATACTATCCAGTGGAAGTGTCGGTTTTAAATTGAAAAGAGTAGACAAGCGAAATAATCCGCAAAAGGAAGAGACATCTGATGGACAAATAATCGATTTCAAAGCTAGACTTCGAAAAGTTGAGAATGCAGAAAAAGAAAAATCCTTAGAAGAGAAAAGTACCATTACTGAACAATCTTCAGAATCAGAAGAACAACAAGATGATAAACGCAGAAGTACTGGCAGTATCAGTAGCTTGAAGAAGCTTTGGGAAAATAAAGAATCTTGTGACAGTCAGCCTCATAGCCCAAAACTTAGTGTTAGGGGAAATAGTGGTAAACAAGAAACACTTGACCAGACAGAAGATTCACCTGAAGATCACAGTGGTGCTTCAACCCGTAGTCAGAGGTACATAACATTAATATTTATTCTTTTCATATGATACTATATATATTTATTTATTTATTTAATTATTTATATATATATATCTGTATACACACATAGTTTAAGACATCAATCAATATTTGTAGTTCTGGTAGCAAAAGTGATACTAGACTATGGCCACCACTTGAACCAGAAAAACCTGTTGTTCCTGCAAAGCCACTAAAACCACTATGTTCTTCAACTAAACATTTTGGTTCTTCAATCTATGCAACACCAAACTGTACGAAGTCTCAACATACAGAAGATGATCTAAGTAAACAAAACACAGATTCAAGAACCGCAAAACAGATTGTATTGGAGCTTTCTACGTTAATTGAGAACAGCGTATTAAATTTAAAAAGTAGCTCAACGATAGTTATGACCAGCTGGCTCCAACTTTCAGACAAGGTAGGGCTGTTACACGGAATGTGTGCTAATCTCGCAGATAGTGGTATTGCACCGCATGCGCGGTTTCAGTTTCGCGAACTTCTTGCAAGGTTAGAGCTCCAGGCACGACAGCTTCGTGCAGCTGGCACTCGAAATGTTGCAGAGAATACAAGACTTCTCACTGACCTTCAAAACACGATAAAAGATGTCGTCAATACCGTGCAAAGATAAACTAGAGAAATTTATATATTTATTTATTTATTTAATTATTTATATATATATATATATGTATACACACATAGTTTAAGACATCAATCAATATTTGTAGTTCTGGTAGCAAAAGTGATACTAGACTATGGCCACCACTTGAACCAGAAAAACCTGTTGTTCCTGCAAAGCCACTAAAACCACTATGTTCTTCAACTAAACATTTTGGTTCTTCAATCTATGCAACACCAAACTGTACGAAGTCTCAACATACAGAAGATGATCTAAGTAAACAAAACACAGATTCAAGAACCGCAAAACAGATTGTATTGGAGCTTTCTACGTTAATTGAGAACAGCGTATTAAATTTAAAAAGTAGCTCAACGATAGTTATGACCAGCTGGCTCCAACTTTCAGACAAGGTAGGGCTGTTACACGGAATGTGTGCTAATCTCGCAGATAGTGGTATTGCACCGCATGCGCGGTTTCAGTTTCGCGAACTTCTTGCAAGGTTAGAGCTCCAGGCACGACAGCTTCGTGCAGCTGGCACTCGAAATGTTGCAGAGAATACAAGACTTCTCACTGACCTTCAAAACACGATAAAAGATGTCGTCAATACCGTGCAAAGATAAACTAGAGAAATTAACATCGTTTTCTCTGTCTCCACCCTTGTTCTCGTTCTCATTTTCATCTGACACTATTTCTAATAATCGTGTCTGCCACTCAGTCAGGAATGTTTTGGACTTTTTCGAAAATCTTTCCCAAACTCTCGTACTGGATTTTTGTTTCTTCGAATATTTGTATTGAATAGCAAGCAACTTCATGATCCTTAACCAATTTCAGTCAGGAGTCATTTAAAATACTTCTTTTGTGATGAAGTTTTTATGAAATTTTGTTGCCATGATTTTCCTGGAGATAACATATTTACACTTTTGCTCCTGAAGAGAGTACACGAAACCAAGGATATTTAAGAGCAAGGCTCTAAGCCAAACACGGCCTCAATAAAATACTGATTTGATGGAAAAGTAAGACAAAATTTAAAGTTAAAGTATTAAATTAAAAAAAAAGAAAAAAAGTATATTTCGATTTTCATCTTAATATAGACTGCGATTAGCCATTTTTGTTCGAATTTTGAGATATTATTGTAATAAAAGTATTATTCTTTTGATATCGAGAAAAAAAGACCATATAGTGCGTAAATGTAATTCACTTATATTTTTTACGAATTGAGTTTTGCAAAAAAAAAAAAAAAAAAGAAGAAATGTATTCTCAAGAGCAAGGTGAATTTAGAAGTATAATAAGTAAGTAAGGATCAAATATACTCTGGTTCCTTAAATTTTTTGAATAATAGTTTTAAACTACTAGAAAAAGGACGAGTAATCGCAGTTTATCGAAACGAAAGAACGTATATTTACCTTATGAATACAGAAAAAAATAATTTTTGTACACTGAGCACTCGGTTCTTCTTTTTGTAAATTAATTATTGTTACTTTTACCTCGATCCAACATGTATCCTGTATAAGTGAAGCTCTACGTGAATCATACTCGTCCGCTATTCGATAAATGTGGTGATTATAGTTGTCGAGTAAAACGTCTCGGTGTTCTTTCATCGAACTTTCTTGCGCCGTGCTTCGTAATATCGTACGCAAAGTCTTAGGCTAGATTATACATCGTAAGTGCGAAAACTTTTAAACGAGTAAGCCATTTTAATTCGCGAGAGGATGTAACAACTTTTGTATTTGTATAGAGTAAGTCGAATAACAGGTATGCTTAATAATACAGTAAAACTTTGATGAGAGAAATTGATTAGGAAAGATATTCATACCTTGAGAAACTTCTCGGTTAATCAACCTTCATATATCTTATTTATATAATATTTTTTATTCCATTTTTAATCATTTAGTACATTTCTTTATTCATATCGTATTTTAAATATAATTTGTATGTCTAATTTAAAATTTTATTGCCTATTTTTCTGATATAAATTTATTTGTATTGTAGGTACCATAATTAAGCCAATATTGCTACATAATATATTTTAGCAATAGAACGATTTATCAGCTACAAATTTAGTTTAAAATGATAATTATATTAATATGACTAATTAGTATTGGATAATTGAAAGTTCGATCAAGTATTATAATAATCAAAAACCAGATTTGTACATGATCACATAATATCAAGGTTTTACTGTACATATTTATGTAAATCAGCGGGTGTAATTAACCAAATTCCGAAATACTTTGTTTTGTCTGCGTATCGCGTAGATGTTCTTCCACAGAACGCTAGTAAGGAATAGGACTCCGGATACTTTTTGAAGAATTTGAAATGAAAACAAAAACTATTAAATTTAAGAACTTATTTTGAATGATAATTAGTATTTATTTCACTTTATTTATCATTCTTCAACTGTAATTTAATTACATTCCAATTAACTGCCACTTGTGAATGGATGAATTAATTAAAGCTTATATAATGGAATTAAGTATGTTGTTCAAATTCAAATTGCATTTACTATTTAAAAAGTATTTTCAACCTTGCTTTTAATTTTTTAATTTCTTTAACTTTCATTATATATAAACATGCTAATTTAGTCATGTTATTTTTAATTCTTTTTTTTTTTTTTTACTAATTAGTCTTCCAAAAAGAGTCTCCGGAGTCTGAATGTATTTTTTATTTGATTACTTAAAAATAAGAAATATGCAACGAGAATAAGAATGCCACTCGATTTGCCATTCAAGCCGTTTTTTCTTGTAACACTGCCTACATATGGCTACTAGAATACATCGATCGACAACGCTAGTTACGCGAATCGGAATTTCTCTTCTTTCGGTCTGATCACCCATCTTTCTTTTTTTTTTCTTTTTTTTTTACATCATTTGTACCTGTGATACACCGATCGACTTATCTTTTATCTTCAGATAAAAAGCGAGAAAGAGAGGGAGAGAGAGGGTGGGAGGGAAAGAAAGACGAGCGATCGTACGAACGAATCTTTTTGAGAAGTCTTAAGTGTATAAATGTTTAACTGGAATTTTAATCAATTCTTAGTTTGTTAAGGCAAAGTATTCAATAAAATGTTATCTGTAAATACGTAATTATTTTAAAAGAATCACGCATAATACTATAATTCAAGTCTTATATATCAAACATTTCAAATTTTATTATATAATATTTTAAGTAATTTTTTTAAGCTCAATTATATCTAATACCATTATAATAATTTTTACTTTTTTTTATAAGAATTAAATTACATAGATAGCGGTCTTATAATAGACATTACATTTAATCATGAAATTTTGTTTTATTAATCATTCATTTTCATTTGTTTTATATTAACTAGTGAGAAGTAAAACATAGTTAATATAAATAGAAAATATTATGTGTGATTTTTTCAAAATTTAAGTAATTATAGGCAATATTTATAAATCTTAAAAAGTATTACGAACTATATATTGATAGGTATTTCAGTTAAAAAATTATACATTTAAAACTTCTCAGAATTTTATTAATCATTGAATTTTAAGTTGATGAGCTGTCAAAGGATATAAAATCAATGTTTTATACGATATGTATCATAGTAATGTTTATGTCTAAGTATTTATATCTATATTTATTTTTAGTTCTTTCTCGTGTAAAGTTATTCCTAAATGATCGACCAACGTACTGATTCACTAATACGAAAATTTTAATATCGCTTTATACATTGATATAAGACCGACGATAGAAATAAAAAGGAATATTGAATCAAGAAGGTCTTTGAACATTTTGAAAACAAATCATCTTATTTTATATTCTAATTTATATTTTCTAATGCTTCTTGTACTCGGAAGCAATCGCTTACAATTTTCCATTTATCTCCCATTGCTGCAATTAAGAAGCTTTGGTTAAATGGTTTTGATGTCTTATCATCATACTTTACTTGTCCTCCAACTTTTACAAGAAATGTCAATTGATCTGCCACTTCAGGACCTAAAAAATAATTTATTTATAATACATAATTTTGTTACCTATTTACAATAAAAGAAGGTTTCTACCATATATACTTCTCTATTGTAAAAGCATACTATAATATATATTTATATATCTTATCTTTTTATAGTTGCTTTTATTTATTGATATAATATGTGCTATTATTTACTATGTATAGCTATTTACCTGTTATCGGTTGAGCATCTAAAGTAAAAACAGAATGATCTGAAGGTGGCAGATCTGTCCAAAATTTCTGTATATTATCTTTACCCTCCATGCCATTTCCATTCCATATTAAAGTTGCAGTATCCAGATATAATCTTGATATAAGCTAAAACAAGTATGTTGATATATATCTAATTAATTTATGACGTAATTAACATTTGTTTTACTTTTATTGATTTATACTAACATTAATCAATTTATAAAAAATTTAGAACATTGAAATTACTTACATATCGACGTTTATCTAAACTTTCATAATAAAGTTTTGTAAATTCTTCAGCCGTTCGGCAAGCCTGATCGATCTTCGTCTTCAAATCCTAAAAGGTAGTAATTATACTGTAAAATTTTCAACGATGTTAGAAAAAATAATATTCCTTAAATACCTGCTCCATCCTTTATAATTATCTGCTAAAATAGCTGCTAAGGAAGTTTTAAGATATCCTTTGATTTCAAATTATCTAAAACGTAAATATAACCTCTGTAATATAAACTACTTTTTTACAGTGAAAATACAAGAATAAATACTAATTATCATGACAAATTATTTTACGATTTAATAATTTATTTATTTTAAATTGTAAAATAATTAAAAAATATAATTTGTTTCCTTATGTTTTTGAAAATAAAATAATGAAAACAACATTTTTCCCCTGAGAAGACTTCTATTATGACTAGATTTCTGTATTTAATGCTTATTTAAACATGAAAAATTAAAAAATATTTTTAGTAAAATTTACAGAATCTTATATACTAGTAAATATTAGTGTATATACTAATAATGTATAAATGATTTCGAAAAAATATTATTACTATCATAAATTTTATTTTATAATCAAGTATTAAAAATAAATCAAATTTTACTCAAACCTTTTATTACACTTTTGAAGCAATACAAAAATTAATAAATATTATTTGTGTTTAACAAAATTATACACGGTGTATAAATTAATGTTATAAACTTCTATAATAATAAAATAAAAAAAGATGTACATATTTCTTTACGAGGAAAATTATATGTACTGGCGACGTAAATGTTAATACGTTAAATTTTTTTTAATTACTATATAATTATAAAAAATTATAATTATAATAAATTATTTTCATTAATTCATATAAATTTAATTTTATTCGCATACATGTATAAATCATAACAATTATCTATTATCAAATGAATATAAGTTAAGCATCAAACTCAGATGTGCAGTATAACTAGTTACTTCATGACTGCGCCACCATATGATAGTTTGTTAACAAAAATCCTAGACGACATAGTAATTTATTATCTAGAATATTTTTAAGAACAAATTATTTGGATAGTATGTTTCATCTTCTTTATAATTTCTTTTTGCATCGACAATAGATGAGAGTATAAAACCTATTAAAATATTGAACATCTATAAATATTAAAAAAAAAAATTGTAAGATAGCAAATACAAAATAAAATTTTTTTAAATCGAAAAAGGACATTTCCTTTGTTCATTTGTAGTGAATTTTAAATCACAAGACAAATTGTATTAAAAATATGCATGTGATGAAGATTCCACAGGTTCTCATTCTGCTCTGTTTCCAGAGCCCTTTGTAGCCTATGGATAAAAGCGATCGCGAGATCTTACCGTGTCGCGGGGTCACGTGACTCCGCGCTCAGACAGTTATTTTTTTAGGCATGATGGCGCCAAACAGCAGTATCCACATTAATGTAAATATAATATCGATTCGGTGCACCGCGCGAGGAAGAAAGCCATCGGGTGTCCTTACGGAGGCTATTTGAGGGCGTCGAGTGAGCTCGACAGGAGCCCTCGGCCCACGAAGTGAGTAAAACCGAGCTAGTCGCGGCTGCGACTCGAATTGCTAATGAGGACATCTTGGTTAGGCTGCCGTGACAGAGGCGTACTCGGACTACTGCCATCTCGGAGCTACCGATCGAAGAATAATTCGATCCTTCACGATCAGACATACCGGCTATTATTTGTCACGTGCATCATCGCGCGCGAAATCACCCTCTCCGCCGATAGATCAATAATAAGGCATTTACTGCCTTCCGACCATTTCTATCTTTTTCTGTCTCTTTCGTTCTTACTCTCTCTTGCGCGCGCGTGCGTGTTCATGTTTGCGTGTGCGTGTCGAACTTGTGCTCGCGTGTTCGTATCAACATCGTGTGCGTATACATTTACGTTCGTGCATACCTGTGTTTTCACATCGCGTGTGCGTATTTACTTACATTCGTGTGCATGTGTATTAAAATTCGCCTGCGTGTACGTTCAGATGTGTATACGTGCGTATCGAGATTCGTGTGCGAGTCGAGCCTGTCGCCATCTGTATTGTCAATGTTGTCGGCCAGCAGGAGCACCACCAGCCCAATGGACCCGTGAGCATTTTCGACTCTCCGCCCGATATTCTTCTAGACGTCTATTCTCGACCGCGAATCTCGACTTCCTCGTGTCGAGTCATCGAAAGTCATACGACAATCCTTCACGGTCGAGCCTCGGCGCCGCTCGAGCGTCGCCGCGGAGTAACTCCGTCGCAATGTTTACATGCCACCCGCCACGGCGATCAGTTTCTCGAAGATCATTGTGTTTTTCCAACTACTCAAGGCCTTATAACGTTACGGGAAAACGATTTCGTTTGAATTATAACTCTTCCTGCTGGACTGCCCCATTTATAACCTCTCCGCGGCGGCCATCGAGGATCAACGGCCGCAGACCCCCTGCAATACAATCGGTCTATACCATCAGTCCTTTTGTCCGAGTTTTATGCTCTCAAACGTGTTTGCGTTATTATAATTCTTATATAAAGTTTTTAATGTGTACTAATCACTAGAATTGTGAATTTGTGTTATCGAATAGTTCTAATTTCAAGTGCTGTCTTCATAAATTCAGTTTGCGAAGGAATGCTTTGTGTTTCATGCTTATGATCTCTGTGTAATACCAGTTATTTACATGTATTTTATATTTTTCTTATGTGTAACAATATGTTTACCAATTAGTTCATAGATATTGTTATAGTGTGTATTGTATGAAATATGTTTGAATGATTGTATTCCATGTATTTTTTTCTACGCAGTTACTGTTATGTATTATCATTGTGTTTATATACTGCTACTAGATTTGTTTTTTTCTTCAATTACTTGTTTGTAAATAGTTATTTAAATTTATTGATTTAAATTTATTTGAGGCAATGCATAAATTGTTGATTTTATGTATTGTTTTATTTTCATTTTAATCTGGTGTACTCCATTTATTGTATTTAAGCATGGAAGCTTTATTTTATGTAATTTTTTATTAAACTCGTGTAATATTCTACACATATTCCTTTATTTGTAAAGAACAATGAATTTTGCACAGGGAATCATCTATAGTGTTAGTACAAAATTAATAATTATATGAAGAAGTATAGAGTTAAATTTTCTTTTTTTTTTGTTTTTTTTTTTGTTTTGGCTCAGTTTAGTTAGGATAAAGCTACAATTATATCTTTATTGTTGCAGCTCCGAGAGGAATCCGCTTTCTAGATAATAAATACATGGACGACTATGTAGTGAGTAATTAAATATTTTTCCTTTTAACTTTTTTTATTTGTTTGCTCAATTTATAATAACAAAACGTTTTAGGGTGCGCGCGGCTCACCTGCACGTGCCACATACCGCTAGCTCACTTGGTATAGTAGAATGGCACAGCGAGGCAAACGAATAAATAGAAACGACAATGATTTGGCGTCTTGCCCAGGCGCAATCAAAAGGCGCAAATGTAGGGTGGGTCCAGCGACGGGTTCGTCGTCGCTGGCAGCTACCATGGGGCCCTCAGAAGAGGAGGAGACGATGGCGTCGTCCAGTCAAGGAGGGGCATCCTGGACCCCCAGACCTCTTAGTGACATCAAAATCTCTAGTATATATAATCGCTCCTCTGCTGAAGCTCCTGCAGAATTATTTCGTAAGGATTTGATTAGCGCAATGAAATTACCTGATAGTGAGCCACTAAGTCCCAATGAATATTGGGTCATTACTGATCAATGGAAGCAAGAATGGGAGAGAGGTGTTCAAGTACCTGTCAATCCAGACTCCCTTCCCGAACCAACAGTCACTATGACACAAGCAACACCCATAAAGCAGCACAGTGAATTTAAATTGTAAGTTTCATTTATAACTTATTGCATTTTTTTAATATATATGGAAATAAATAACTTTAAAGTATAATAGGAATCCAAACTCTATATTGAATTCAATAAATATCTTTTAAAAAATTGTTATGATATTACTCAAAATTTATAATATTATATTGCTATTAGCTATTCTATAATAATTAATAGTAAATAATGTTAGCAGAACAGATTTATTTTTACATATTAAAGCATAATTTTATTTAATTTAAAAATTGGAGCAGTTAATAGAGCACATCAAGAAATATTAATTTTATTTTTCAAAATAAATATTAATATTTTTAAAACAACTTAAGAATAAATCTCAATAATTTGATAATTATTTATATTTATGGAAATGTAATTCTTATTCATTCGATTTTTAGTTAAATCTTAGATATGTATTATTGCTTACATCAATAATAATAAGTAACACAATAAATAAATATATGCAAGATATTGTTTCATTACATTTGTCAAATAAATTTAATAATTTTCTTTGGTAATACTGTTTTTATAGACCTAAAAAATTCATAAGGATATCTCGTGACGATTATTTCAACCCTGAAGATCATCATTTAAGCACAACGCCGGCGCGAGCAGAAAAAGCTTGTGCCTATGATCTTGACGATACTGATATTGCTTGGTTGGATGTATTAAATGGTGAACGTGCTCAGGTATATTTTAAATTTAGTAATTTTTCTCATATAAAGTTCTTTAACCCTTTGCGGATGATCGGCACATATGCGTTCAACAAATGGCAATCGGTAATAAAGTATCACTAATGTCTGCGTTCGGTTAACGTTCAGCTTGCAATTTAACAAGGCTATATTATTTCAAGATTGAAAAAATTTGATAAAAAAGTGTTACATCTCGCAGTTCTGAAGGAATTGAAACTGGATGAATATTCTATTGGGTGACATTATGTAAAGACAATTCTAATTATATTAGTATATTTATAAGTACATTTTAAGTGTATTCAGATGTTTCCAAAAAAGGTACTAAAATGACAAAAAAGAAATTTTTTCATTTGTTAGATTTATTCCTATACAATACACGCATCATTTATTAAAAACTCATTGGTTAAAAAAGAAAAATTTACTGAATTGTATCTTTTATTAGTAAAAGAAATGTTACAAAAATATCTTCAAAGTATGTATAGAATCATCTATTGCTAAAAATTTTACAATTTGTCCTTCTACTTAATAGAGAGGCATTTTATGTCAAAATGTTCAAGTCAAATAGAAATTTTGAAATTAGCAAGAAATGTGTTGTATGATTGAAATGTAAACAATAAAAAGATACATAATATGAATGTAAGAAATGTAACATAGGTCAGTGCATTAATTAATATTTTGAAATATATTATACAAAAAAAATGATTCATTTGAATATTTATGATTTTATTATGAAATGTGATCTAATACTAATAATTTAAATACCTAATAAAAGAATATTAGTAAACGAGTTAGCATATTTTATTAATCCTTTGGATACTGTAGATGTGTATACGTATCCAAAATTTGGTAACTTTCTACGGGTGCTATGGGTAATATTATGTGCATTGACGATTGTGAGCTAATAGTTTAAAATTATTATTTCTACTTGGGCTTCATTTAATTTTGGACTGTTCTGTCTGCAAAGGATTAAATAAATCTTCAATTAACTAAATCAATAAATTTTTTTACTGAATTGAACAATATTATTTCCATGAATTATTTTTGATATTTATTGTTTGTATTTTATTTATTTTAGATTTTCAATGTTATTATGTTTAATTAAAATTTTATAATTTTATCACATTAAATTACAATTTTAGGCTGGTCAATTACCTATCACGGAATCGCAATTAGAACGTGTGATAGAAGAATTGGAAGTTCGTTGTTGGGAAAGAATACAGACCATCGTAAAAAACGAAGAAGGCCTTGGCATTGAATATGATGAGAATGTAATTTGTGACGTTTGCAGATCTGTAAGTGTTTTCTGATTAATTTTATAAAACAAAGTTAGCATGATACTAAAATGCAATAATTATTGATTAATTGTAAAAAATTATTTTGTTAGCCTGATTCTGAAGAAGGAAATGAAATGGTATTTTGTGACTGTTGCAATATATGTGTACATCAAGCATGTTATGGAATTACTTCAATACCAGATGGTTCATGGTTATGTAGAACTTGTTCTTTAAGTCAACGACCAGACTGTGTTCTTTGTCCTAACAAAGGTGGTGCTATGAAGTGTACACGTAGTGGCCAGAAATGGGCTCATGTTTCTTGTGCTTTATGGATCCCAGAAGTCAGCATTGGCTGTGTTGAAAGAATGGAACCTATTACTAAAATATCCAGCATTCCGGTATATGAAACAATTTTATATAAATATTTAGTGCAAATTTCATAGAAAAAAAATAAAAAGTTCCATGTTTATATAATAAATTTGTATATATAGCAAAGTCGATGGGCTCTAATATGTGTGCTGTGTCGAGAAAGGGTCGGTGCTTGTATCCAGTGCAGTATAAAGACGTGTAAGACAGCCTATCACGTAACGTGTGCCTTCAAATATGGTTTGGAGATGAAGGCAATCATTGAAGATGAAATGGCTGACGATGGAGTAAAATTAAGGGTATTAATCAACAACAAATTGCTTTAATTATATATAAAAAATGAAATATTTTTGAAAACGTAAACATAAAAGCAAAAAAGAATTTATCTGTTAAATTACATGAAAAAGATACATGGTTAGAACATCAAATAATATTACATCAGTATAAAAGATATTGAAGTGTAATCTTAAGAGATTTTCTGCAGTTTTTTAGAATAAAGATGTAAATATTTTATTTATAGTCCTACTGTCAGAAACATAGTAGAACAAATACGAAAGATAAAGTTCAAGGCACTGGAGGCAGTATAGGAAGTGGAGCTGACAAAGCAGGATCAGATTCTGAAGATGCAGAATCTAGAAGACGTAAAAGGAAAGATATGACTTCTGAGGAAAAAAATCAAGCACGTGCTGCAAAGTATGTTCAATTGTTTTTTTATTTGTGTTTCACTATTAGAAATCTATATTTAAATTTCTTGCCATAATAAGCATATGTCTATTTTTTTATTAGATTACAAGAAATTGAAGCAGAATTTGACAAACATGTGAGTTTGAAGGATATCGCTTCGCAGCAATTGGATGTGGATCCTGATGGTATTGTCTACATTTATAATTATTGGAAGCTCAAAAGAAGAGTAAGTAATGCACGAAAATGTAATATGTTAATTATAACAAGTAATAATTTTTTGTTATTTACCTTGTTTTAATTATCAAGAGCTTAAAATAATTATCTGATCCATTATAGTACTTCTTTAAAAGTATTTATTTAAAAGAATTTTATTTTTACAGTAATATAGAAATTTGTGTTATGTATTTAATTTTAATTTTACTTTATTTTATATCAAAATGAAATAAATTTAATTTTTTGTATTCAATCTGATAGGCCGGACATAACAAACCGCTATTGGCACCGCGTTGTGGAGAACTTTCGGGTAGTGGATCGCGTAATCAAGGACAAGCAGCAGATCTCGAAAAGATGAGGACATTCGTGCAATTGCGTCAAGATCTAGAAAGAGTACGAAATCTGTGTTACATGGTTGGCAGAAGAGAAAAACTCTGTCGATCTTTTCTCAGATTACGAGAACAAACCTTCCACAAGCAAGCTTTAGTAATGTCTGGACCACCTTTACCACCAGCAGCAGCCGCTGCTGTAATGGAAGCTAATCATGGCCCGTCGATATACGACCGATTATATTCTCATCCTGACTCGGAGGATCATACTCATGACTTTGACACAATTGTTGCCAGAATTGCTGGTATAGACTCTCCGACTAATGAAGAAAAGAAGACACAACAACAACCACATCAACAACAACAACAACAGCAGCAGCAGCAGCAGCAGCAACAACAGCAGCAGCAGCAGCAGCAACAGCAGCAGCAGGACTTTAATGGTGCCTCTAGTAAAAAATTGTACTTCAATGGCTCCGTCCGGAGAAAGAACCTTTATGGCAGTGATTTATCATCTGTCAGTAGTAGTGAAACGGATGCTGCAAAGGCAAAAACAACTGAAAAATCGAAGAACTTGAAACTCGAAACTGAGTCAAGTACAGAAGAGGAAACTAACGTTTCGGCAAAAACCAAATTATCTCGAAGAAAAACGAAAAAGAATGTTCAATCGGCAGATAAATTGCATTCAACACTTAGAGAAAATAGTGAAAATGAAAAGCTTATGAATAGTAGATCGCATACACTCGAACATATGGAAAAGGAATTAGGAAGTGCTTCTGGTAGTGAAAGTGATGAGTTGTTAACATTAAGCAGTGGTGCAACAAAGCATCTTGTTGCTTCAGCCATTTATTCAGATACTGATTCTGACTCTCAAGAACACGCATCTCATTCTGCAGTGTTAATCACGAAAGCAGCTGTCAAGGAGTTTTCCGCGGCAAATTTGTCGAAAAACTCGCAAAAAAGCTTCGGCAAAGATTCTAGACACGTTGAATTTACGTGTCACAACACAGGATCGAAGAATAAAGAAAATCAAAATAAAACTAGCGCAAAAAAGAAGGAATATATACCTTCTGCGTTGATTGTTCCACAGAGACAAGCTGCAAAGAAAGCTTCTGAAATCATGCAACGCACACAAGGCAAAAAAGACAATTTAGTGCCTGAATCTACACCGGAAGTAATTAAGTCTCCCGTGGAGGAACTTCCGAAAGGTTCTTCTTCAAAACAATCAAAAGATAAAAGTCCTAATAAAAAGCAAAGAGAAAATAAACAGTCAAAAGAAAATAAGAATAATGATGTGTATGATTTCGATAAAGAATTTGGAGATGGAACTGAGATTTTGGCATACGTACCGCAAAGACAAGCTGCTAAAAAAGCTGCGGAACACATTAAAAGTGGTATGGGGACTAAAACTACACAACAAATAGAACAAGAAGTACTTGAAGGGAGATCGAAAAAGGAATCTCCAGAGACAGGTAAAAGGAAAGAACTTAGGAAGGATGATTCTTCGCGAAAAGAAGAACTTTCTTCACGAAAAGAAGAAACATCTTCATCGTCATCGTCGTCATCGTCCTCCTCATCCTCTTCATCATCTTCATCCTCTTCTTCATCTTCTTCTTCCTCATCCTCTAGAAAAGAGGATCTTACATCTAGAAAAGAAGAATTGACTTCAAAGAAAGAAGAAACTTCTTCTAGGAAAGAAGAAATTATCTCAAAAGACAACCGCTCGAGAAGGCCTAGGAAACCGACAGAGCGGAAATCAGTGCTTTCGAGTAACAGCGATAGCAGCAGTAGTAGTAATAGCTGTAGCAGTTCCTCAGAAAGTAGCAGTGATTCTGAGAATCTAGAACGGAGGAAATATTCAGATGAGTTGATAGATGGTTCTTCTTCTACTACTTCCTCTGAAAGTGACTCTGGCAATAGAACAAAAAACAAAACAGTTACAACTCCAAGCACAGCTAATAGGAGACAGCAACATAGCAAAACGTCACCGGAACGACAGGAAGTTGAAAGAAAACCAATTTCAGGGCGGAAACTCAAGAAGCTGCCCGAGAAGAAGCTTAAAACTTCCGACGGGCGGCGGGGACCTGAGTTTCAGCCGCCTATTGAGAGAGAGGAACCTCGTAGAACCACAAAAGATCAACAACAACAACAGACACAACAACAAGAAGCAATTGTCAAAAAACAAGATCAAAGAGATAACAAGAAGCAACCACCAGCAGCAACAGGAACGGAGGTTGATGAGGATTTGCTCGTTGGGGCTGGAGATCATGATGGGTCAAGAAGTATTTCTGGGTCCAGACCTACCAAAAAGTCGGGTCAAACTGGTAAGCAGCAATCTTTGCCAAGGAAAGAAGATAAAAAGACCAAATCCGAAAGCAGAAAGCGAAAACCGAACGAATCCATTACGAAGGATGAAAAGAGTGGGAAGGAGACGGTTAAGAAACCGGAGAAACGGTTAAATGACAAACAGCCTATCAAGATAATAGAAAAGAAAGACGAAGAAGACTGTAAGAAGGATGAAGAGAAGATTGTTGATCAAGAAAAAGGTAATGAATGCATAGATATTTCTACGAAGTACGAGGAGAAAAAGCTTAAAAAAATAGGAGGTAAAGATGCAATCAATACTTTGGAAGAAGAGATGAAACAACGTAGAGCGGAAAGAGATAGCCCGAAAAAGTCACTGAGGGGATTAGACAAATTGTTAGAAAAACGAGAGCATCATGATAAAATGTCTAAGAGTAAAAATTCAGAGGTGAAAATTGAGAAAGTTACTTGTGACGATGAGAAGGAAGAAAAGGAATCCATGGAAGAAAATCAGCAAATGAAAGACATTGTAAAGGATGAAGATCATAAAAATCATATTAACGAAAGTAATATCACTATTGAGAAACCAAAACCAGAAGAACAATTAGGGGAAGAGACAATAAAGAAGGATATTGTTGAGGTATCACAAATTGAAAAAGTTCCAATTGGGAAGAGAAAAACGGATCGAAATTTAGGAAAAAATTTGGAAAACATTATTGAGCAACAAAGTGTTGAACCACAAAGTATTGAATCGCAAGTTGTTCCTACGGAAGAAAGTATTCAGAAAGAAAACAACGAGGACGATAATGTTAAGTCTGTTTTGGAAAGAATAGAAAATTCAGAGAAAGAACACCAGAAACGACGAAAATCGACAAATAGGTCGATTTTTTCGCCACAACATGGTAAAGATGCAAGTGTTTCAGAATTGTTTGACTTTGATCAAGATATGTTAACGGAAGAAATAGTGAATGAAGACGGATTCGGTATATCAAGAGATGCAGAAGAACGAGGTGTACCATTAAGTTTCTCGTTTAATAATGAGTTGTGGTTCAAGGAAGATTCGAAAGAAGATAGTGCTAGGGAAACGTTGCATCTCGTTGAAAAATTGCGTATGGAACTTTCGAAGAAATCAAATTCTAGTCAGTTCGAATTAGAGGCAGTACCTGTAGATGGCGAAATCAAAAAGGAAGAACCACCGTTAGAGAAAACGTATGAGCAGCAGCAACTACCACAGCAACTTCAACCACAACAGCCACAGCCACCACAATTGCAACTGCAACAACAGCAACAACAGCTTACCCAACAACCAGAAAAAGATACAAAAATTCTTGAGCCTATTACAGAACCAGTCCTAAATGTGAAAAACATTGAAATTTCTGAAGAAGAGGTAGCTAATAATGAAACCCGTCCCAGTAGCTGTAAGAGTACAATAGAAGAAAAGAGGAAAACTTGTTACTCGAGTGGTAATGATAGGTATGCGGCCTATGAAGAAGATCGTGAAGCGAACAAAGTAAGCTTAGTGGAACGATCGAAGCTTGATCGAGCAGAGACTGACGAAAGATGGGTTCCACCGAGTATTAATAGTTTTGAACCCAGTGATGTGCAACATTTGAATGCTTTGATGGAAACACAAAATCGTCGATATGGCAATCATCAATTTCCTAATGAATCTATTCCAGAAAACGAGTCCATTGCGCGTACTCATTTGAATGCACCGAATATACAGGAACAATATCTTTTACAGCAACCACATTCGATTCTTCATAGCCAGCAAGAACCACACGAAAGAACTATGCTCGATCAACAAATACCTGAAGAAAATCCTATGGAAATGATGAACAGACATTTAATTGGATTGCCAGCATCAGAGGATGACCAAGCTACTGAAATGATGGATAGAGTGCTTGAAAAGGAGGATGACGTTGTTAGGCAGCAGGAGTATGATCAAAATTCCCCGTATAATGATATAAATGGTCGTCCAGATACTAGGTGGGCGGAAAGTCAAGTTTTACCTTCTCGTAGGTCCACATCTTCTTCGATTACTTCCGCCTCCTCAGCAGAGGATCATTCCATTCCACCGTATAAGAATGTAGCGAGCATTCCGTTTCAACCATGTTCCATGGAAGCAACGTATTACGCAGATTCGAGTTATGGTACTGGTCCAGTCAGTCTGTTTCCACCTGTTTCCTGTGCAGCACCTGTACCTTATCCTTCTCCTGGGCCGGCCCTTTTTCCACCAGCATTTGGAGCAGCTTTTCCAGGAGCACAATCATTATTACCACACGTGAAGCCGTTAGAAGACTCGCTGAATCTACAAGCTTCACCGTGTACCGCAGCGTTCACGTCTTCCTCACATAACATGGCACTTACTGCAGCCATGGTCTCACCTACTAAAATAGTAACTCCACCTCCACCACCACCTCCACCACCTCCACAAGTCACGGCTCCACCTGTAGATTCTATAGAGAGGACGCAACAGCAATTACAAACGCAAGTAGTCGATTCACCCTCCTTGCCAATAAATTTCCTAAACACCGTAGCACCAGAGAGTCATGTCAGTGATACCGTTGTTGAAAGTCTTCAAGAAGCTCTGACAGATGGCAAAAGTCAACACTCTGGGAAGAAATCACCTTGTAAACCTACCAGAACTTCTGCCCGTGTGACATCGTTACAAGGAAAATCTCCAGGAAAGTCTCCGAGACAGGAAGCTCAGAAAAATGTACCTGGTGCGCGAGGTCGTGGCAGAGGAGCAAAGAATTCAGCGCAACACTCCGGTTACAGAGGACGTGGACGTGGAAGAGGCAGAGGACGAGGTAGAAGTGGACAAAACTCAGGTCTTTCTTTGGTTTCTGGTGTAGGTGTCGGTCAACACGATGACTCTATCCAGAATAAACTAGTCGGAACAGTATACGACTTCGATTCCGACGAAGATTCGACTAGTGAAGCGAACATCGCTGATTTGCGTACTATGAGGGAGCGAAAGAAATCTACCGATGCTGCAGCAGCCGGAGTTGAAAGGAGAGATTCTGCAGTCATAGCTTCCGGAGAAAGCGTTCAATCGAGACTCTCTAGTCCTGGAGGTACTAAAAAATATCTGGAAGATAGGAGACTTTCTTGCTCTCCGGGTCATGATGATTCCGCTATTGTGGAAAATCAGTCAAATGCCGGACAGAGTTTCGAAGCCGTCCTACCACTTATTCCTGGTCCTGTCGACATGAGAACTTATAATTCGACTCTCGATGCTTCAAGCTCTTCCACATTGCACGGCCAAACATATGAGAATCATTTCCTGGGTACGTTTACGAGTGTTTCCGCAAATGATCCTGCTTTGCCGGATATTGAGGAAGATCTCGAGAAAGAATTAAGATCCGCACTGACCAAGCAAGGTCAGGAAGACTGTTCGAAACCGAGTTTTGACGCGAGTATTGATGCCTCGTCTTCCGGCTTTGTAGATGCCAATAAGGTCTCCTTGACTGACTCAAGGAACCAACTGAAGGTTAAGATTAAAGGTCCTTTCCTTGATGCGAATTATGTTGCTACCTCGTCGGTACCACCGCTTGCTCAACAAGCACCTGTAATAATCACTCCAACCGCTACCAGTGCTTCCATCGCTTCCGGAACCTCAAATCTTAGACGAATGCGAAAGAAGGAATTGCTCAGACAGTACTGTTCTCAGGATATGAATATGGACGAGCCAGGCTGTGGAAACCTTGCTACGTCTGCACCAATCATCATGCCACAAATTAATCGCACAGTAATAACGATACCGAAAGCGGTTGCCTCAATGACCAGCATACCTACAAGAGAAGATTATAAAGCAGTTGTTGATGCGAACATGGAAAAAAAGAGAAGGAAAGAGAGATCCACCGGGTTTCTGGATACTAACGAGGAAGAGGGAAGCGTTGAGAGAAGGCGGGGCAGTGCTACTAACGGTGCTAGTTCCAGCGGTAACGCTCCGGTAGGAAACACAGATCGTAGGAGAGCAAGGCAGAGTAGTGCTGTTAGATCAACAACTACGACGACTACAACCACTACCACGAACAGTGGTCCGCCGAAGTTGAAGATCAAAATCGGCAATAGCATAATAGGTGGGCAGGAAAGTGGTCAGGATGACAGGACAAGGATCAGGCCACCGAAGAAGCGGTTGAGCAGTATTCCTAGTAGTACACCGAGTATCGAGGAATTAAGGAGGGAAAGTATGAAGTTTAGGCGTATGATAATGGCCGGTTTCGATAATGATGAGAAACTAAGGGCAAAGAGTAAAAAGGATAAGAATGGTAAACGAAAGAAACGACAGTCAAGTAGAAAAGAAGCTAGGGTACGTATCCTTGAAGGTGGAACGGCACCACCGAAATTAATCATAAGACTGGGCAAAGGTAATGATTCTCCGGACGAATTACCAATCTTGCTCACGGACGAAGAAGAAGATGAAGAAGAGGAACGACATCCGACTGATAGTAGAGTAGGACCTCCACCCCCGGAACCGGCTAAAGATGAACCTGTCTATCCATCAATAGCTGCTAACATTGAAGAGAAACAACCTACCGATCCGGATACTGGTGGCAGCGCACCAAGAAACGTTCGTTCGGCTAAAGTAACGCCGATCAGGTTAAAATTGACACGCTGCCAAGAGGGCTACGAATTGAAGGGCTCGCCAGTTCACGGCGAGGAGTCCAATTTAATGACGGAGAAACCGCGAAGTCCCGAAGTTTCAAACGAGATGAGAAACCCACCAGTCAAGGGCCAAGACGAAGAATCCTCCAGGGAGGAGGAAGAAGAAGAAGAGGAGGAAAACAATAGTTCCGTGCAAAGGGACTCCTCCACGTGTCCTACCGCGGCAAGTATACCGCAGGGATGCCAAGTTAGGTGATAATTAATGATACTCGTGGAGTAATGGAGCAGAGGACACAAACATACATACACACGGTGCTTGTATGATTTTTACAGTCGATAAAGAAAACGGACTCGATACACGTTTGCGGTTACTAGCTGTGAAAGCACGTTGCCGTAATAAGGTGAAAAACTGTTCCTCCAAGATACGGTCCAAGAAGATCGAGGTATTGCATATTCTTACAATACAATTTTATTACAATCGTTACAGTTTATCATTGGCTTAATGGGAAAACTGTGGAAAAACAAAGGATGTTTAATACCATCTTGATATTTGTTTTAAATCGAGTCAAATATTTTACTAATATTAATAAATTATATTTTACGTCCATAGTAGCTCAAAATAATAGTCAAATTGTTTGTGATTAAAACTTTTTATTTTGCGGACAGATTTAAAATTATCCATAGAAAATTAATATCGTGTAAAAATTTATATAGTTGATATCTTATCAACTGTTCCCATTAAGCCTATGATATGATAATTTTTTATACGCATTTTTTACGATTTCTTGCAAGATTTTACAAAGTTGTATGTAAGAATTACTTGCATTACTTTGTTGATAATATAAAGAGTTAGTTACTGAGCCAGCAAAACCATTCGAAACAGAGGTTTCAAAGGCAGTTCAAAGACAGTCCTATACCCTTTTGTTGCTACAAGCCTATCTAATGCATCTTGATTTAGATTCATAAACATCACTTGCTATCTAGAATCCATGGCAGTTAAATGAACCCATTCTGGATTAACAGATGATGGAATGATGTTAGTAATTTTCTCCTTGTTAGTTTGCAAGATTATTTCCCAGTGTATAACCCAGGTTTAGATAACTTAATGAATTGAACTGGTTTCCTAGTTGGGCTTGAGCTTGTAATTGGAAGAGAAATTACTGCAGGGATTGCTTCTTGTTCAGTTGGAAGGAGATCTAATTTCGCAATCTTCAGAACAACAGCTTCTACGGTTTCTGTTTGAAACTTGAAATCAGCTGAGACAAATTGCTAATTCCATTTGCGAATTTGGTGATCATATTTGTGATCCTTTCTTATTATTCGTATCTCCAGTTCTTTTATGGTGCCTTTTCTGTCTTTAACATATATGGAGACCATCTGAAAACATCTGAAAATGGTCTCAATCCCTTTTGATCATATCTGATATAATGTGCCAATTGAGATCCCATTTTAGTTATTTAGTTCATCTCCATTATGAAGAGTCAGTTTAGGACAACTATCAGTTGTTGGGGACATGTTTTATGCTATCTAAAGGAAATAACGAGAATTTTCTTCCTCCTGTAATTCTTTAATGTTTTTAAGATTAGTTAGAAACTTAAAGTTTCCACAGTTCAGCCTTCAGTTTAGAAAACCAACCCTCTTCTTGTTATATAATAACTTCAGATTCTGGTACTAGAAGATCAGATTCCACTAACTTTGTCTATTAATTTTCTAATTTATCTTTTATCTACCAGATTATCTTTTAGATTAAATTTTCACTCGTCCCAATCTTTGTATCCCTGATATATGTATTCGTTTTTAATTAAACTAGTCTCCTTAACGTTGCAACTTACGTATCACCCTCGAAATCTCGAAAAATCTGACTTGTAGATCGAATCAATCGTCTCCTCTTATCTTCACTTAGCACATTGTATAAGACTGCTACAATCTGTCTGTTATCTGGAGCCACTTTTCTTAAAAAATTGTTACACGATGACTCTATCCAGAATAAACTAGTCGGAACAGTATACGACTTCGATTCCGACGAAGATTCGACTAGTGAAGCGAACATCGCTGATTTGCGTACTATGAGGGAGCGAAAGAAATCTACCGATGCTGCAGCAGCCGGAGTTGAAAGGAGAGATTCTGCAGTCATAGCTTCCGGAGAAAGCGTTCAATCGAGACTCTCTAGTCCTGGAGGTACTAAAAAATATCTGGAAGATAGGAGACTTTCTTGCTCTCCGGGTCATGATGATTCCGCTATTGTGGAAAATCAGTCAAATGCCGGACAGAGTTTCGAAGCCGTCCTACCACTTATTCCTGGTCCTGTCGACATGAGAACTTATAATTCGACTCTCGATGCTTCAAGCTCTTCCACATTGCACGGCCAAACATATGAGAATCATTTCCTGGGTACGTTTACGAGTGTTTCCGCAAATGATCCTGCTTTGCCGGATATTGAGGAAGATCTCGAGAAAGAATTAAGATCCGCACTGACCAAGCAAGGTCAGGAAGACTGTTCGAAACCGAGTTTTGACGCGAGTATTGATGCCTCGTCTTCCGGCTTTGTAGATGCCAATAAGGTCTCCTTGACTGACTCAAGGAACCAACTGAAGGTTAAGATTAAAGGTCCTTTCCTTGATGCGAATTATGTTGCTACCTCGTCGGTACCACCGCTTGCTCAACAAGCACCTGTAATAATCACTCCAACCGCTACCAGTGCTTCCATCGCTTCCGGAACCTCAAATCTTAGACGAATGCGAAAGAAGGAATTGCTCAGACAGTACTGTTCTCAGGATATGAATATGGACGAGCCAGGCTGTGGAAACCTTGCTACGTCTGCACCAATCATCATGCCACAAATTAATCGCACAGTAATAACGATACCGAAAGCGGTTGCCTCAATGACCAGCATACCTACAAGAGAAGATTATAAAGCAGTTGTTGATGCGAACATGGAAAAAAAGAGAAGGAAAGAGAGATCCACCGGGTTTCTGGATACTAACGAGGAAGAGGGAAGCGTTGAGAGAAGGCGGGGCAGTGCTACTAACGGTGCTAGTTCCAGCGGTAACGCTCCGGTAGGAAACACAGATCGTAGGAGAGCAAGGCAGAGTAGTGCTGTTAGATCAACAACTACGACGACTACAACCACTACCACGAACAGTGGTCCGCCGAAGTTGAAGATCAAAATCGGCAATAGCATAATAGGTGGGCAGGAAAGTGGTCAGGATGACAGGACAAGGATCAGGCCACCGAAGAAGCGGTTGAGCAGTATTCCTAGTAGTACACCGAGTATCGAGGAATTAAGGAGGGAAAGTATGAAGTTTAGGCGTATGATAATGGCCGGTTTCGATAATGATGAGAAACTAAGGGCAAAGAGTAAAAAGGATAAGAATGGTAAACGAAAGAAACGACAGTCAAGTAGAAAAGAAGCTAGGGTACGTATCCTTGAAGGTGGAACGGCACCACCGAAATTAATCATAAGACTGGGCAAAGGTAATGATTCTCCGGACGAATTACCAATCTTGCTCACGGACGAAGAAGAAGATGAAGAAGAGGAACGACATCCGACTGATAGTAGAGTAGGACCTCCACCCCCGGAACCGGCTAAAGATGAACCTGTCTATCCATCAATAGCTGCTAACATTGAAGAGAAACAACCTACCGATCCGGATACTGGTGGCAGCGCACCAAGAAACGTTCGTTCGGCTAAAGTAACGCCGATCAGGTTAAAATTGACACGCTGCCAAGAGGGCTACGAATTGAAGGGCTCGCCAGTTCACGGCGAGGAGTCCAATTTAATGACGGAGAAACCGCGAAGTCCCGAAGTTTCAAACGAGATGAGAAACCCACCAGTCAAGGGCCAAGACGAAGAATCCTCCAGGGAGGAGGAAGAAGAAGAAGAGGAGGAAAACAATAGTTCCGTGCAAAGGGACTCCTCCACGTGTCCTACCGCGGCAAGTATACCGCAGGGATGCCAAGTTAGGTGATAATTAATGATACTCGTGGAGTAATGGAGCAGAGGACACAAACATACATACACACGGTGCTTGTATGATTTTTACAGTCGATAAAGAAAACGGACTCGATACACGTTTGCGGTTACTAGCTGTGAAAGCACGTTGCCGTAATAAGGTGAAAAACTGTTCCTCCAAGATACGGTCCAAGAAGATCGAGGTATTGCATATTCTTACAATACAATTTTATTACAATCGTTACAGTTTATCATTGGCTTAATGGGAAAACTGTGGAAAAACAAAGGATGTTTAATACCATCTTGATATTTGTTTTAAATCGAGTCAAATATTTTACTAATATTAATAAATTATATTTTACGTCCATAGTAGCTCAAAATAATAGTCAAATTGTTTGTGATTAAAACTTTTTATTTTGCGGACAGATTTAAAATTATCCATAGAAAATTAATATCGTGTAAAAATTTATATAGTTGATATCTTATCAACTGTTCCCATTAAGCCTATGATATGATAATTTTTTATACGCATTTTTTACGATTTCTTGCAAGATTTTACAAAGTTGTATGTAAGAATTACTTGCATTACTTTGTTGATAATATAAAGAGTTAGTTACTGAGCCAGCAAAACCATTCGAAACAGAGGTTTCAAAGGCAGTTCAAAGACAGTCCTATACCCTTTTGTTGCTACAAGCCTATCTAATGCATCTTGATTTAGATTCATAAACATCACTTGCTATCTAGAATCCATGGCAGTTAAATGAACCCATTCTGGATTAACAGATGATGGAATGATGTTAGTAATTTTCTCCTTGTTAGTTTGCAAGATTATTTCCCAGTGTATAACCCAGGTTTAGATAACTTAATGAATTGAACTGGTTTCCTAGTTGGGCTTGAGCTTGTAATTGGAAGAGAAATTACTGCAGGGATTGCTTCTTGTTCAGTTGGAAGGAGATCTAATTTCGCAATCTTCAGAACAACAGCTTCTACGGTTTCTGTTTGAAACTTGAAATCAGCTGAGACAAATTGCTAATTCCATTTGCGAATTTGGTGATCATATTTGTGATCCTTTCTTATTATTCGTATCTCCAGTTCTTTTATGGTGCCTTTTCTGTCTTTAACATATATGGAGACCATCTGAAAACATCTGAAAATGGTCTCAATCCCTTTTGATCATATCTGATATAATGTGCCAATTGAGATCCCATTTTAGTTATTTAGTTCATCTCCATTATGAAGAGTCAGTTTAGGACAACTATCAGTTGTTGGGGACATGTTTTATGCTATCTAAAGGAAATAACGAGAATTTTCTTCCTCCTGTAATTCTTTAATGTTTTTAAGATTAGTTAGAAACTTAAAGTTTCCACAGTTCAGCCTTCAGTTTAGAAAACCAACCCTCTTCTTGTTATATAATAACTTCAGATTCTGGTACTAGAAGATCAGATTCCACTAACTTTGTCTATTAATTTTCTAATTTATCTTTTATCTACCAGATTATCTTTTAGATTAAATTTTCACTCGTCCCAATCTTTGTATCCCTGATATATGTATTCGTTTTTAATTAAACTAGTCTCCTTAACGTTGCAACTTACGTATCACCCTCGAAATCTCGAAAAATCTGACTTGTAGATCGAATCAATCGTCTCCTCTTATCTTCACTTAGCACATTGTATAAGACTGCTACAATCTGTCTGTTATCTGGAGCCACTTTTCTTAAAAAATTGTAACTAATTGGATTATACTCTGCTAAATCAAGTTATTGGTCATTATGACTTAGAGCTGAAAAATGTTCGTTCCCAAATTTGTTATCGGAAAAAGAAATAATGCACTTTGTCTCCTTCTCGGTAAAGATAAATCAAACAGGCAAGAATGGGAAAAATAATTTGATGGGAAAAGGAGCTTATGGGAAGGATTGAAAGAGTATTTATATAACCTGATTAACAAAACCTGTAGAGTTGGAAAATTTTAATTAAGTGCCGGTCGAAAAGATACATTCTCTTTCGAAAGTATTGGGATACCTAGAAAAGATAAAGTGAATCTGAGAAACCGTAAAGAATTTCTTATAATCTTTTAAAATTATTACATTGGAATGTATGAGATACATATATTCCATGTTATGATAAAAATCTCACCACTTACGATTAACATTAAATTTCCTGCTTATCGACATATCCTCCGCGTTTTTTGATTATTTCTTTAATAAATTTCGGCATCCCCCTTATTAATTCTTTTGTAGCTTCCGGTGCTATGTAATTCTATGCGTGTTGCAGATTATTCCACGCGCTATTTTCAGATTCTGTCTAAATTTTCTTTATCGAATTCAGATCTAATTGTTACGAAGACTCCTTAAAAATTTTTACAGCGCGTTTTGGTTCGTTATCGTACATTATCCTAAAATAGACAAATAATTTTTCCTTTTTAGAATTCTCTTGGTTTTTATTAAATCACCGCTCATATATGCTCCAATACGTTTTTGAAAAACATACACTCGTTATTTGCTACCAAACATCTGAAATTTAGACCTGTCTGTAATTGATCAACTTTTTTAGATTTATTATTTCATTGAGGTCGCTTTACTTTCCTTTTTTGTTTCAACGGCGGTTTCTTTTTTCTCGTTACATGGTCAGACCAGTTTCGTGTAAATGCACCCTTATCATCCAGGCAGAATTCATGAAATCGTAATATTCGTTCGCTTCAGTCGTTATTTTTCGGTTAGCGCGTTCGTTAGCCCGTTTATTCAGATTTTTGTACATATAAAGAGATGTTATCGAGGAATGATCTGCGCCGAAATTAACATAGCATCGAATGAACTCATACATTTTTAATAAATCAAATGGATTAAATGGATATATTAACTATGCAAGTAACAGATACTTACAACCCAATTTATGTGTTTGACACGATAAAACTAGCAGAAATTAATTAAATTGAACGAATAATTAGATATTACATCAGACAAGCAGGTGTCCTAATATTTTTGGGAAGGGGTATGTCTCTTTGCAATGTCACACAGAAGTTCATCCCTCTACTCGATTGGGACCGGATCACCCAAGTTGATAGGAACAGCTACCCCGAGACTAATATTTTTTGTTGTTATACTATCCGACGTTGAATTTCGGGGTTAATTCCGCCTAAAGCCATGTTGCGAAATCACTTGTTTCTGTGAATCAAAGAAATAAGATGACTCTCAACAGGTTCCATCATATATCTCCTCTTCACTCTGTTGATAATATTTATAGATCATGTTTTTTTATTTTATTATTATTTTTATTATTATTATTATTATTATTATTAATATTATTATTATTATTAATATTATTATCATCATTATCATTATTATTATTTTATGTATATACGATGATTATTCTTTGTTCATATTATTAACAAATTTCTTTTATAAACTTCACCTTCTTACGGCAACAGAAACATGAAACAAAAACGCTCATTTCGGCGAGAGGAACAAGGTGGTCGCGACTTCTAAGATATACTCGTTTTGGACTCGCTTCAACGGACGTTCTCCGACGTTAAATAAGAAGAACTTATACTCCTCGAGGAAAAGTAATCCGGTTTTATTCTTAAACAATACTCGAGAGATGAAAACGGGCGTGCCATTTCGCGGCGGCGACGAAATGTCTGTTTTCCCTTGGAAAAAAATAAAGAAAAGAAAAGAAAGCAGATTGAAGAATAGTCGAGGTCGTTGACGAAGATTTCCATGGAATCTACTGTGAACTCGATAATCTAACGTTGTAAAGAAGAAACATTTTGTCTCGTCTATAAATTCTGAAAATGAGACTGTGTATGCGTGCCTGTGCTGATTATGTGTGTGTGTGTACACTAAAACAGAACGAGAAAAATGAAAGGAAGAGACGATTAAAAATACGGGAAGGATTCTTGAGATTACTTCGTACACGACCTCGTCATTTCCTTCGCAGTAAGAACTAGTTAATTGTACATATTTGTAATCTACGATTGTATTTAGTTTAAGTCGAATAAAAAGAATGTATGTCGTGAAAGGATAATTGAGCGTGCGAGGAAAGGAGTGAAAAGCGTTGAATGTGTGAGTGAAAAGCTGCGTGAGAGATTTTATAATCAGTGCGAAGCTTACGTGATGGCTGTGTTTTACCACGCGGTCCGATCTTCCAGGCAAATTAATCCTGGGCCGCGCAGAAACGTTCGGTATCCCCCCATAACCGCTGGATCGCTCGAGTGTCCCCCTCTCCCCAACCAACGAGATGATCAGTTAACATTACGGTAGAAATAGTATAAAAAAAAAAAAAAAAAAAAAGAAAAAAAACAGAGAAAAATATACAAGTAAAGGAAGTAATAGACGTTCAGGCGGAGAAATCCGGAGAGAAAATGTAATTTACCGAGTTATAGACGAGGACAATCCAGCTGCCCAGTAGCAGCCTCTTCGATGAATTAGATCAATTAATCGTATAGTCTGTCGCAATAATACAAATTGATCATAATTACGCAGTTGTCTTTGGTATAGAAATCACGGAATGTCCGTTGCTAGAAATATCTATTTACATGTAGTACACATGTGCAACAATATTCTTTTTTATCAAAGCAAATTCGTAAGAACTGTCAATACGCATTTCTCATCGTTTTTATGATTCATTTGGTATTATATATATAGTATCTTAATGTCAGAACGTTGTCGTTTTACACCAAGTACAATGTTAATAATTTATTCTTTATTTAGTGTAAATAAGTTCTATACAAAATGGAAGTACGTTTTTTATACAGTAGCATAGTTTGTAATGCGATAGTTAATTCGTTCTCACTCCTTGTGGTTTTTACGTTTTTACTTTGATCCTGAGTAATCTCATCTCTTCGTCGAGTTTTGAGAATACAAACTCTTCCTTAAGGACAGCTGCGTAATCTGACGATAAAAGATAAACGTCCACTTATGGATGATATCCGTTAAAAAAAAGGGCTATATGAGAAATAATAATCGAAAATAATCGTCCATATCCATATTCAGAATGCGTTATGCGTTAAAAGATGTTTGTCCTCGTTGGACCTCCGCCGTGGCATCAGCGACAGAGGAAGGATATTCTTCCTTGTGTGGAAAAACATAACTTCTGCTTCCTCCTTCGCTGTTTAACGTAGATAAACGTAACTTCTTCGCTCGGAATCCGGGGTACGGAATTTCTCTGCGCGGACCGGTGTACTTTGACCCTAGATCCAGTCAATCAAATTTCCTTATGTCCGCTTTTCTGTACTTATTACTTTTTTAAGTGAAAGAATCATTTTCACTAAGCTATAATATAAATTTATATAAAAATCAAATATCATATATCACTTTTCAGAATACATAACAATTTCCATAGAAAAAGATTTCTCAAGCAATAGTTTTAACTATCTTTAATATTTTTTATTTTTTAATATTGTTTTACATGCATACAGTGTCCCTTTAGAAGTACCGTATCCGATATATAAGAGATTCCTGAGCTAATAGTATGATGGTTCTTAATATCTTTAACGAATGTTTCTTAAGTATTTCTTTTTTTAAATTATTGACGATCAATGTTGAGGAACCTAAGAGCTCTAGCATATCGTACTTGTACGATGTTGTACTTCTGTACGAGAATTTTGTACGATTTTTGATACGATTTTGTACGACTGAAAGAAATATCTGTAAAAGAATTAACAAAAAAAGAAAAAAAAGAAAAAAGAAAAAAAGAAAAAAAAGAAAAAAGAAAACGTTGTTTGAACGTTTTTAAATATGTGAATGTGACTTGTGTCACTTTTAACTCTTGTTGCTTACTATTTATCGATTTTAAGAACGATTTCATTTAATGAAATCATCTTCGTAACAATGGAATTGTGATCTATGAAAACGTGCAAATGCGAAATGTTTTATAGATGTTTTTTTTATTGTAATCATATTGATTTTGAATAACCAATGACAACTTTTTATGATGTTCGTTACATAAAGAAAGTTTGGTCTAATTAGGATTTTTTATAAACCAAAATAAATTATATATAAAATGACGGTGCAATATGCTACAAATACCTAAACTCTGTATATTCAACTATCTCTTGTTCTCAAATGATTTTCAAAACTATGGAAACATTTAAAATTATCTTACTTTTAGCTCAAGAATCTCTTCGTTTAGGCAATGTAGTACAATATTTTATTCTATAATTTATACAAAAGTATGAAATATAAAAGAATCATGTAGGTCATATTAATCAGAGCTGTCACGAAGATTATCTCGCTCAAAGATGACGATTTTTTGTTTTCAAGTTTTGATATGTATATTTTTTGTTATTTGTATGATTAATTTTACATAGAATATAGAAATTACAATTAACGCAATTAAATATGCGGACTCAACGAAAGAGAAATTTAACTTTAATAAATTTGTAAATAATATATAATCGCAACGATCAGAAAAATTCCGATCGTAATTTTAATCGTTTAAATAGTAGGTGGAGTCGACTGGTTCTAGGGTCAAATGAAATGTTAATATTAAATTAGTTAAAATCCTGAATTCTGAGAGGAAGAATAACGTTGTATGCCCTGGAAGCCGGAAAAAAAACTCGTCGGCGATAAGCGGAGCCTTAGAGGAGCCTATTGCGTTGTACAGAGAAGAGGAAAGCCAAGCAGAATCAGTTTAATTTCGAATTGTTTCTTACTTACGCTAAGCATAGAAAAAAAAAACCGATAACGATGAATTTCTCACAATTCGTTGTACGTGCCCACATGTAAAATAAAAATGTGGACGCTTACAACGATTCAGAACACATACGTGCATATATAAATATATAAATATATAAATAGTTTTATTATATTGCAAAGTGAAATAATACAATATTTAGCTACTGTATATAATGTAAAAGAAAAGCTGGTCTTGTAAGATACGGATTAAGGTGTTTTAATGTGCACATAGCCGCGTCATTGTCAATAATCATATTATTACGATTAATAATAATTACAGTTTTTTAAAAAAAAGATGAGGATTGTTGAATTCCATTTCGTTTAATTCTTAACCTTTCCTATGAGCATATCTATTAAAGTTTTAGAAAGTATTTAAATACCCGGTTATGTGAAGTTATTCATTTAGTTCAGAGGGCGCTAACAGAAGATTTCGAATTCTGTAAGTGACAGATTATTACTGCGTTGCGGTTTGTTGATAGTGTTTCAGAATATAGTTTTACGAAAGATTTACACGGTTTTTGCTCAATTCAAATTTATAACAAAATGAAGCCTAATACTCTTGTAGCCGATGAAATGTTTCCAGAAGGTGGTGGATCTTATATCGAATTAGAAGAGGTACAAAACAGTTTAATAAGGTTATGTTTGCATTGAAATACATAGATTTTTATTAATAGTTAACAAATTAAGTTTTATTTCTTTCTCATTATATATTGATAATATTATAAATGTATTAAAATTATTTAAGGTCGGAGGTAGTCGTTTATTAGTTGACTTAACTGCAAGTGAAAAAGCAGTACATGCAGACTTTTTCAATGGTAAGTGAAAATAAATATTCACGCACTAATTAATCATTATTGATAATATTATATTTACAATATCTTTCCCTTTCAGATTTCAATGACTTATACGACGATGATGATCTCGAATAAAAATTTGTGACTTTTGTAACAATAGTAAAATTAAAGTTATGAGATACAATTTTTAACGTATAAGAGAGATAAAATGTATTCTATAAATATTAAGTTTAATATTTTGTGATATATAGAAATTAAAGTAAAAGACATGTAATATATTTGTTTTTATAACTGCATAGAATAAATCTATCTTTATCTTTTATTAGAACTAATTAGATAACAGTAACAGATTTTGAATTAATATAATACATATATGTAATCATTATAAATAACTATAAAAACTAAAATTAAAATAATAATGCTTCTTAATATTACATATTTATAAATTATGTTCTATTATCAATATATAATCGAAATTTGAAACAAGCAAAAATTTCTAATAAACGAAAAAGCAATTAAACATATAAAGGTAAAGAAAATTGATGTACACAATGCAATAACATTATTACAATTTATTATTTTTAGTTCGAAATTGAATCAGACGTGCGCCCGTATCCAGAATACCATTTATCTCGGCATATTAGTTCGGGCGATATTAATTATAAACGTGCCATAAGAAAATGAGTACTGGTCATAATGTCTCGTACACATTAATATCGATATCATTGTAAAGATTATAATTTACAATACATAGATGCTAGTCATATAAACCTGTTAAGATGATGCATAATTAAAATAGCACCCCGGGTTTCAGTCGCGCCGCATAATCATGGATCCTGTCGATCGTCATGCATTCCTACACGATTTACTTCTTGCATTTTGTGTTTCTCCTTGGCCCCAATCGACATTTAATTCATTTTTTGACCATCCTCATTTTTCATTAACAGACTTTTATTAACGGTAACAACGAGGTTCCATGTTGAAAAAAAACCCAATTACCGTTACTCGTTTGCATCTTGATTGCGCACAAGAATGACATTTTTAAGAGCGATATCGATGACGACCATGTCGAGTACGCTGCTAACAGTGACGAGTATCCTATAAAATATAAGTGTTATAATGTTTATATAATACAATTTTTTTTAAATATGTTTATAAGTTACTTACCCTGAGTCCAGCCCCGAGAAAATCGTTCGGAGTGCTAGTTAACTTCGAGATCACTATCGGCTTGGTCATCCTGATCACTTTCTTCCTCTTCATCTTCTTCCTCAGAATAATACTGCGAGGGTGGTGATAAAACATCCTCTGAAAGTGAAGTATGAGAAGATGAAGGAGGTCGAGAACCTTCCAATTTTGTATCCAGGTCTTCCATTGAGGTACTTGGTCCAGGAATGGTCACTGGGATGAATTTTTCCAAATCACCAGATGCGAGTTCTAATACGAAACATTAAAGCATAAAATTCATATGATTTAAAAATTGTTTAATTTTCAGTAATACGTACGTTCCACATATTTTTCCAGAGATTTTGGAACCATTAATTTGGCCTTTCGTAAATTTTCCTCAGTGCACTCTCCCTTTTCTAAACCTGTTCAAATATAATTCACTAATTGACTGAATTGTAAGATACAAATGAAAATTATAAGATACTATATAAACTATTTACCGAAAGCTAAACCCATTTGCTTTAAAACTTCAATATCATCATGAATTTCGAACTTATCGTTAAAATTGAACAGGTACTCGGTTCTGTAACAAGCATGATTTGATATTACCAATTGAAACAAAATTACATTAGCAGTAGGGAAAAAAATCACTTGTTCTTATTAATTATCATACTTGTCATTTGAAATGCTGCAATCTATGACAGTCTTTTTGCTAGTATTCACAATCAGGAATGGCAGCTGTATGGCAGAATTTGGTTTTGGTGGGCCACGCAGACTTTCATTGGCACGATTACGTTCCACCAAATTTTTAAAAGAGATATGCGAGAGAATCAATTGATGTAATTGTTGTGTTTTCGCTTTAATCCTCTCGATTTTCTTTTTTTTGTCCTTTTCAAGTGCCAAACATTCTTGCAGAGAATTGGTTGGCAAACCTAACCACCTGATTTCTTTCTTTTCTTTTGAAATAATATTCATTGCCATTAAAACGTTTAAAGCATCATAAACACGTCTTCTAATATTTTTCTGATCGTATTGCTGTAAGACAAAAACTAATTGCAATTACTTTTAATTTTAAAACTAAAAAGAAACGAGAAAAATTATACCTGATCTGTTAAAGAGTTTATATGAGCAGGGTTAGTAAATTCTCCAACAAGTTCATCTGCAACCTCGTTGTACGACGTCGTTCCTTTCTTTTTGACTTTCTCACAAACTTTCATTGAAAAATGGCGTAATCCTTTACCTACTTTTTCTGTTTTTCTTCGTTTACTATCAAAAAAAGAAAATGTAAAACATTAATTAAATACTATTAAAAATTTCGTTTTTCATACATTTCTTTTTTTCTTTGATTAAATTTTATTCTTCCATATTATTTATTATGAAGTATACATGCACAAAAAAATATTCCATTAAAATGGATTAATCCTTACTCTGGTACAAAATCACCACCCTCAACATCTTGTCTTTTCCTAGAACCACTATGATCCAATATTGGACTGATATATGTTTTTCCACTTGCATCTTTTACAATTTGTTGATTACCAGATTGTTGTTGTTGCTGCTGTTGGGATACTATTGCCTGTTTTATATCACTCTATACAAAAATAAAACAAGTTATAAACTTTTAAATTAATTCAACACAACGAATTTATTAAAAAGTAGTTATTTTAAATAAGAAATACCATTTGTGCAGATGTTAATTGTATAGTCTTAGTCAGTACAGGTTCACCAGCCTTGGTAGTTGCCAATTTTGTATTTTGCAATGGTATTGTAACCAACCCTAGAATAATTATGAAACATTATTTTATTATCTTTTATTATAAAATTAAATAATTAAAAATATATATTTCTATAAAAAAAATAACTGTTTAAATTTAATACATTATTACCAAAAAGATATGTAGAAAATATATATAAAAACTTAAAGTAAAGACAATAGTAGTTTAAAAAGTTACTTACTTTGGCCAGGAGTTGAAGGACTCTGCAGACTGATAGTTCTAAGAACTTGTGCGTTAGATGACAAAACCTAAACATCATAGAGACATTTTACTGAGAGCAATGTTAAAGTATTATTGATAGTGTAAAATTTAAATTATCTTAATACAAATATTATAAACAACAAAAAAGATTTAAATGGTAAATAAATTCTTATAAATATATTATACCTGAGATTCTTGGCTCGGAGTCTTAAAGACTTTAAGGCCACCTGCATTTGTTGTACTGACGATACCACCCAATGTTTTATTGGCTGTACTCTGCACTACTTTTATTACTTGTGGATGACCTAAAATGGTATTAGATTTTCTGTTATTAATTTAATAATTAAGCAAACCACTAAAAAATTAATATATAAATATCATTTTTAATTCAACAGAACATAAAATGTTGACATTTGTCATTAATAATAATTACTGAAAAATTGAAATATTTGTTAAATTGAAACAACAAATGGCAACTAAACAAGGATCTCTTAGGCTAGTACATTTTATCTGAATTAAAAAATCAAACTTAACAATATCTTCACATTTGAATAAAAACATTGAGAAGTAAGTGATCTTTTCGATTGAACAATCAAGACAAGTAGATACATACATTTTTAAAAAATTAAAAATAAAACAACTTAAAAGTAAATTGGTTTTATTGGTGTAATCATAAAAAAGAAAATAAAAACATTTTTTCATAAATTCAGTGTATATAGTCTGTAAAGAAACAGAGCATAAGACCAACATAAATGTGGAAATAGAAGAATCAACACGGACTTATAATTGACAAGAGTCAAACAAAAAATAGCAGAAATATGAGCATGAATCCAGGAAGAAGACAACAGTAATGAAACTGGATGAGCATAAAGAAAATGTAAGAAAATTAAGACATTATCATCGAAGTGAGGCATGCTGATAATTGGCGCGCACTCGGCATACTCACCGTTCGCGTCATGTATGAGAAAGTTCATCGTTTTGTTTTGTTGCGTCATCCTCGAGGTTAGAATGTGAAAATAAAAAGATCATAGGTACACTCGCTAATCTTGGCTCAGTCTATCACCAAAATGGCGACTATGATATAGAACCATTTGAGAACAGAATTCAACGATATACAGATCAAAGAACGTTTTATTGCACGCACAAAAGTGAAAGCTAGCTGTTTCTTTATCGTACTAATGCAACCATTATAAGAAAACGTTCATTTACTTGTAAAAATATCACACGAAAATCTAGCTTCCGCGTGCACAGTACAGAATAGAGACGAGCTTGGCGGCACGACAAAGTTAAACAGCTGATTGGTTACTTTCTCAGTCACGTGGTCCCTTCTGTTCCACGTTTATGGGCACTGTAGTCTCTGCAAGAAAAACCTGTTTCTAGTGTTTTGAAATGCCAAACACTAATATCGGGATTTTATTCTTAATATTGGTAGTACTCGTTTGTTAATTTTTATCCAATAAATAATTTGTTTAAAACCCAAATATATAATAAATTAAAAGAAGCAAGTAACATATCATAATTAGCTTTTACATTTATGGATATAATAACGAATCATTTAGATATTTGTCATTTTAACTTTTTCGAATTTTTACATATTTTTGCTAATAAAATGAAACGGTTAAAATTAATTGTTATATATTTTCAAAGAAAAATTACATAACTTATTTATTAAATTATTAGTTTTGTACACATATAAATTAAAAATCAAAATTAAAAAATGCTGAATATTTTAAATACATTTCTAATACATAATCAATTAAACATAATATTAAAATATATGCACTATTAGATTATATAAAAAATACGCTATAGGATATACTAAATTTTCGCGCCATGATTCAATATATAATATAATATGTCCCATCAAATATATTCTTAACGTTTTTACATACAAAATAGTTATGTAGCTCAGAATAATATTCAATTAAACTTCTTTCACATTTCTTAGGTCAAGGTAATTTACCAATATACATTTTTAAAAAATATAATTTAACTATACATACAAGGAAATAAAATAAAAATTTGTTCATTCAAATAGTAGTACTACAGCTTAATTAAGCGAATTGAATCGCGATTTTATTTTCAAAGCTTTCCAATTGGTTGAAATGAAAGTTTCTAGATACTCAAACCAATAATGTTTTTGCAGATTCGGCGTTAGTCGTGAAAGAATTTTGATAAGAGACGTCACAGAATCGTGCAATTAGTCAAAAGTTTTCAAAGATAAATAATTTATTTGCAGCGTTCTTAAAAAAAAACCGTATCACATTGCATAGAATCAAAATCTGTTATCAATAGAGTTGTCATAGCAGTATAAATTGTGTTTTTAACACGAAATATTGAATTGAAAAGTAGTTGCCTTATATGTGCGCTTTTAAAAGAATCGCATAGAATACTTCGAACCGAGGCTGAGGGTTCGTTCAGGGTCTGACTGAATGGTAAGATTATTTTAAGGCTCGCGAGGCGATTGAAACGCTCAGGTTAAACATTTATTATCTCTTTCAACAAAATTAC